CAGCCACGACATGTCACATCTTGTGCATGCTATTGTGTTCTTCTATGGTAGTAAGTTGTTTTAGCCTCTGTATGTTGGTCTAAGCCAATTGAAATGTCTGGTTTTAAGTGTTCAGGTCACCATAACTTAGACAGATAATGCAAAGGTGTTCAGCAGCCGTCCTTGAATCTTGTAATCTAACTGTAGACAAATCTAGATGTATCATATCTCCCTAATATGCTGTAGAAAAGAACAAAAAATAACAAAAATGTAAATCTAACTTCAAATACAACAACCTTAGTTGTTGAGCGTATCTAAGCTGTTAGTACTAAGTGGTTATTTATGTAAAATTGCTGTTTATCTGCTAAAAGGAGATAAAAGAGTCCAACAAGTCACATTTTCCTTGTTTTACTATAATGACTAGAATGTGAGAGTGAGTCAGTCTAAACCCCGGGGGGGGAATCGTCACAGCTGCCATGTGTGTTTCTATTTGTGAGCTGGACACCTGAATGGTTTGTACAGGAAAAGGGCGTCTGTGTCACGTGTGAAACCAGCACTTGTAAACGTCTCTCTCAGCTCGAGTCATCCTTAGCTGACTGGAACTGAGTCTACTGCTACACTCTGGAGTGGTTGAGTGGATTTATAAACTGAAATATAAGTAACTGTCTGTGTATATCAGTACAGACAACATATCCTGTTTTTCTATTGCGTTGTGCAAGTGAGTACCTGTCTGGATTGTCTGTCAGATCCATATCTGCTGTGCTGTTTGAGAAGAGGCTCACATTGCATGCTAGGGTATGTCCGTGCCATTACAATTAAACTGTGTTGGGACTGTGGGATTTTCAAATGTGAATGTACAATAGGATTTAGGTTGTTTGATTTAAAAAAATGTAAACCTTGTGCAAATGTACAAACTGTGGTTCTCATATTGCATCAGAATTAGAATACCTTTATTCGTCCCACAGAGGAGAAATGTACTTGTTACAGCAGAAAATAGCTTAATGTTAACTAAGAAGCATGCATAACATTTGTATTTAATGTATCTATTCTATCAATACAAATTAGTAAGCAGTCTTCAGGACTACCATTAGTATGTACATTACTCTGTAATCATCAACAGATCAGAAAACGTAAGTGGATGACTGGAGGAATTTGGGTGTGTCTCAACCTTTAATTCCAATGGGTTACAAGCTTTGGTTACAGTGTATATGTATTACTTAACTAAGCTCATAATTCTAACCAGGAACAAAGACAAACTTGATCTGAGAGTGGGGCAGGAATAGTTGTCCTTCAATCAATCAACAACTTTATTAATCCTGCAAGGGGCAATTGGTTATGAGCAGCAGCTTATGTCATGTACACAGGCAGGAACATACAAGAAGAAAACACACAGATACACCCGGGAGCACAGATGTGGATAATTCCAATTTACACTATAAATAGTTCAAAGCATCACAATAATAAATAAATACATAAATAATCAAGTTAAAAGCCTTTTCAAGAATTTCAAAGTTTGAGTGCAGAAGGGATGAATGATTTAGAAAAGCGATTAGTCCTTTGATCAAGTAGAGCATATCTACGCCCTGATGGCAACAGACGAAATGCATGTGAAAGTACATGACCTGGAGAGTTCAGAATTCTCTCGGCTTTCCGCAGAATCTGTTGGTTACAGAAGGAACCTCTCTCTGTTTCACGCCGATGATCTTGGAGCAGGTTTTAACAATGCTGTTCAGGCTGTTCCTGTCTTTCAGTGTAAGGCTATGGAACCAGCAGATAAAAGAAAAACAAATAAGGCTTTCAATGAATGCTTGGTAAAAACGACAAAGAATGAAAGGCAGAAAAAGAGTTCAGTTTGCGAAGAAGGTGCATTCTCTGTTGACCCCGCTTCACAATACATTCAGTATTCACATCAAATTTGAGTTGGTCATCGAAAATGGTGCCCAAGTATTTGTATGATGTGACAATTTCTACCTTGTCATTGTGTATGATGCACTCCTTAGGAACATCCTTGTGACGTCTAAAATCAATGATCAATTCCTGGGTTTTAGAGACATTTAAATCCAGAAAACTGTCATCACACCAGGAAATAAAATCGGCAAGAGCACACTCGTGGCCTGATTCTGAGCTGCTAAGGAGGGACAAGAGGGCGGTATCATCAGAGAATTTAACCAAGTAGCTGTTGTCTTGCATGCTCCTGCATTTATCAGTGTACATTATAAAAAGTAGGGGCGAAAGAACGCATCCTTGAGGCGAGCCCGTGGAAGTGATGACAGAGTCAGAGAGGCGTCCATAGACAGACACCTTCTGCTCTCTATTAGTTAGAAAGTTTAAAATCCATAAAACAAGTCGATCGGCAGTGGCGGTTCTAGACCAATTTGACTGGGGGTGCCACTGGGGGGCCAGTTATTTTCTGAGTGGGGCACAATAAATGCAGGACGAAAAAGAGAACTAGACAGTATGAAGTAATTGCGCATAAGAAAACAATGCAATACAGTTATTGGTATTCGTTTCAGTACACTTATTTATTTCAGATTGATCTTATAGTTATTACTGTTAGCTTCAGCTTAAGTTATAGTGCAATGTTTGCACTAACACCATATTTATATAAAAATAAAGGCAATGAACAGTTACATCTCTACTTTACATAAGGGTGTCTGCTAGGGATGCACGATATTGTTTTTTTGAAACCGATACCGATACCGATAACTTCCTGCTTCTCAAGACCGATACCGATAACAAAAAAATGTTTACGCCACTAATTATTTTAACGCGATTAACGCATGTGTATTTTTTTTCCTCGGCCGCCATGTAGTTTCAGAGCGCATCGAGTTTAAAATACCGTCTACAAGCTGATGCTGACAGCCCCGCTCCTGTCGCCCGCTTGTGGCAGACCACACTTCCACGCTCACCGGCATGCACCGACTGGCCATCTGGAGGACCGGGAGGGTGTGTGTATGTGTGGCCCGAGCGAGCGAGAGAGAGACCTTACGTGCATTGTTGTTGTTAGCATCTGGTGCTAGCTAGCTGCGCTAACGGATATACGGAGCTGTTTAAATGAAAACAGAGGAGCGACATTTCGCCACAACTGCGCCGAGCACTTGACTTTATGCAGGAAGCCAGACAGTGGGACATTGTACAAAAAGTCAGCACACTCAGCACGGATAGTGCGCAACATGATTGCAGCGTCCAGGCAGCTCCGGTTCGAGCATATGCCTTGAGTTGCACATAGCTCCAACGCCCATACCACCGACGACATGTTTGTTTACTGTCCTGGCTTCACGGCCGCACACCATTTACGTCACAGCCAGGCATGAGTTAGGGAGCGCTGGATTTGTGAAAAACTCTCCTCTTCCTAAACCACTAATACTACAGTACTGGCAAAACGGGAGGAGCGGAGTGAAAAACAAGCGCCCCTCATCCCACACCGCAGTATTTTTTTCTTTTTTTTTACCCAAAAAATATATTGTATATTATCGGGGCTATTAATACTGGTATCGGGTTTATCGGGATGACGTCATAATTCCTAATATCGGACCGATAATTATCGGGCCGATAATTATCGTGCATCCCTAGTGTCTGCACAATCTCACATTACAGCAACAAAATCCTGCGTTTTTTTGCAAACCGAGTACCAGAAAATATACATTTAAAAAAAAAAAAAATTGTCATTGTTAGGGGGGGACTGGCCCCCCCTGCCCCCCCCCCTTAGAACCGCACCTGATCGGGCAGTTTAAAATGACATAATAGGCTCTCCACCAGGAGATGCGGCTGCATTAGGCGCATTCACACCGCAGTACTTTTCCCACAAAGGTTCATGAGAACTTAGTTCATGAGAACTCTTTTGTCGCGTTCACACCAAAAAGAGCCGGTACTAAAATTAGTTCATGAGAACCTTTTTACCCCCTTTTCAGTCCCTGCTAGAGAGCAGGGACTTTCATGGGAGAAAAAGGTTCCTATGTTTGATTGGCTGGGCGGATTGCAAACCACGCCCCGTAAAACTCCCAAAAAGTTTTGTGAAGCCGCCATTTTATTATCCTCGCATTAGCATTATTAGCATTAGCATTAGCCCAGCGCAGAAACGCAGAGAGACTAACTTATGGCAGCACAAAATAAAACATGGGAGCTGTGGAGATGAGGAGGTGTCGGCGTTCTGGCGATTTACTCGGAAGGCTTCAGTAGAAGCTGCTGGGAGTCCCAGCAGCTTCTACTGAAGCCAGTCCCCAACTCCGGGGACTTCCGGCCGGGGACTTTGGGCGGCAGTATACGCCGTGAAGTGGTTTGCGGCCTGCCATTAAACCCAAAGCAGAAGAAGAAGAAGTGACGTCAGCGGCTTAATTTGCCTAATCCACCCCCAGGGACTTATTCCGGTGTGAACACGATCTGTACTTAGTTCATGAGAACTAAAGAGTTTTCATGAACTAAGTTCTCATGAACCTTTGTGGGAAAAGTACTGTGGTGTGAATGCGCCTATTGTGTTAAATGCTGAAGAAAGTCAGCAAACAAAAGCCTGGCATGGGTTTATGGCTTTTCAAGGTGTTTGTGGAGGGTGGGCAGTATAAAAAGCTTTGCATCCTCTACGCCTCTCCCTGCCTGATACGCAAATTGTAGTGGATCAAGTTCACCACCTACTACTGACATGACAAGGCCTTTTTAACAATTTTTTCAAACATTTTCATTACCAATGACGTTAAAGCCACCGGTCTGAAGTCGTTTAGGACTTAAGGATGAGGCTTCTTAGGGATGGGAATTACAGTTGAGGATTTCCACATATCAGGAATTTGGCTATTCTCAAGTGACAATTGGAAGATATGCTGGAAAACACCACAGAGTTCACTAGCACAATACTGGAGTGTACGCCCAAATATGGTCAGGACCTGGGGCCTTCCTAATATTGACTCGTTTTAAGAGATTGCTAACTTCTTTGTCTGTTTCATCACATACTAATTTCAGTGCTTTGTCCTTTCTGTCTTGTTATGTCAACAGGTAAATAATCTTCTGTAGAGCTTTTGGTGGCAGCCAGGATGATTCTGGCAACATTAAAGGGCGTTGGGAAGCAGCTCCTGCGGGTGAAGGTGGTGGACTGTAACACAGAGGATTCCCGCCTGTCTCGATGCCTCAACACGTTTGATCTGGTTGCCCTTGGCGTCGGCAGTACGCTCGGTGCTGGAGTCTACGTCCTCGCTGGCGCCGTGGCCCGGGAAAACTCTGGACCTGCCATCGTCCTCTCGTTCCTCATCGCGGCCCTCGCCTCCGTCCTGGCCGGTCTGTGCTACGCCGAGTTTGGAGCCCGTGTCCCCAAAACTGGTTCGGCTTACCTCTACAGCTACGTGACGGTTGGAGAACTTTGGGCTTTTATCACAGGCTGGAACCTCATCCTCTCTTATGTCATTGGTGAGCCAATTTAAATGAGGATGAAAAGGAGTTGGCTGCTAGGCCTCATATTGTTCAGTTTACATGAATACTTTCCTTTAAACAGGAACTTCAAGTGTGGCCAGGGCGTGGAGTGCAACCTTTGATGAGTTGATTGGCAAGCACATCGAGGTCTTTTGCCGAAATCACATGACTATGAAAGCTCCAGGCTACTTGGCTGAGTATCCGGACATATTTGCGGTCTTAATCATAATCATTCTGACAGGTAAGGAGTTCCTCGCACTGTATTCTGTTTTCTTTAATTTCTCTTTCTGACTATATAAGCTCTCATATTTCACATTGTCTTTTTAACCGCTTGCAGGACTGCTTGCATTTGGAGTAAAGGAGTCAGCCATGGTTAATAAGGTGTTCACCTGCGTCAATGTACTGGTGCTGCTGTTTGTCGTCATCTCGGGCTTGGTCAAAGGAAACCTAAAGAACTGGAACTTGAACCCTGACGAAATCCTCAATGCCACCCGCAACTCTAGCTCCAAGTGGGTGAAATAAAGAGCTTTCTCCCAATATTTAAGTTCCAAATGTGTTGTGTATCAATTGACCAAATATTGTTTTCCTTTTTGCATCCAGTTCAACTGATTTCATACCATCAAAAGAAAATCTTGGTAAAGGCGGCTTCATGCCTTTTGGTATAAGTGGAGTCCTCTCTGGTGCCGCCACCTGCTTTTATGCCTTTGTAGGGTTTGATTGCATCGCCACGACAGGTGAGAGGAAATAAAATATATGAATAAGCAATACTTGTGCCCCTACCCTCTCAAAACTCCAGTTATGTTTCCTCCCCAGGAGAGGAAGTGAAAAATCCTCAGAGGGCCATTCCTATCGGGATTGTGGCATCACTCCTAATTTGTTTTGTGGCATACTTCGGTGTGTCCGGAGCCCTCACTATGATGATGCCGTACTACCTGCTGGATAAGAATAGCCCCCTGCCAGTGGCCTTTACGTATGTGGGCTGGGAGGGAGCCAATTATGCAGTTGCCATTGGCTCTTTATGTGCCCTGTCAACCAGGTAAGAGCTCTCCTACTTCCTCTCAGCAAGTCATAGAGGACTTGTAAATATGTGCATGCTTATTTTTGGAATGAATAATTCAAGTTCAATAGAATTCATATAGAATTTAAAATATGTTTTCCTTTTTGTTTAAGTTAGCTTTTTGTGGACATTTATTTTTAAATGTTTGCATTCTTTTGTTGACCTGTAGATCATTGAAATAGTGTGAAACCACTGTTAAGAATACAGAGAATGTATTGTGGACATTTTTGCATGTGTGTGTTTATTGTGTTTAAGAGCTAATTTAACAGCTAATGCTACCTTAATAATCTAATGGTTTTCAAAATCTAACGCAGGCATTACCAGCAAACTCCGAACTGCTTCATGGTACAATAATTATTACAAGAAAATCACACACAAAAAAATCGAATTGCGTGTGATTGAAGAGATAGTTCAGAGATGCAGTCTTTTTTTTAGGAATTTTACTTTTTTACCCACTTTTCCTGCCTTACAGCCAATGATTTTCTTTGGTGTAGTCAAAAGTAATGTCAATCAGTAATAGTTAACAAGGCTATCTTGGCCTAAATGTTGACTTTCTATTGTTATCAAATAACATCATCAATTACCTTTACTTATGGCATCTAGAAAATGTGCCTAAGTAAAATAAGAGCTTTTCTGATTACCTAATCTTAATCTTAATCTTAATGGTCATCAATTCCTACTTTTTGTCTATACTTTGTATTGGCTTTGGCCATGAGCTAAGTTTTTGGACATCTCACTGCAATAGCAAAAACCTTTGAGACAGCAGTGTGCTTCCAGCAGCTAGCCATCAGCCTTTCTAACTGTGTGCATTGACTTGCACGGCATGCCTTTTCTCTCTCTCCCCTACTAGTTTACTAGGCTCCATGTTCCCAATGCCCAGAGTGATCTGGGCCATGGCAGAAGATGGCCTGCTCTTCAAATGTTTGGCCTCAATCAGCCCGCGAACCAAAACCCCCCTAACAGCTACTGTAACATCAGGTGTTGTGGCAGGTGAGGTCATGATCCAAACCTATTAACTGGTTGGGGTCAATATACCCCCATAACCCTACCAGACACTTGTGGTACACATGGGCTCAACACAAGCACATGACCAAATCCAAGATGGTAATATTGCCTAAAGGTAGTCCTGCAAATGTTATAAATCTTCAATTATTGCAGTCTACAAAGCTGTCACAGAAACACCTTGAGTACAGCGCCCTGTGTACTTTATCAGGCTGTTGGGCATGGCTGCAGTTGAGGCCTTGTGTGAAACCAGAGTTCCCAAACCATTTTATTTAAAAAATATCTGCCTCCTCCTTCCCTTCTTCCTTCATCCTTGGATTAGTCTCCTTGGCTCCATGTTTCCACTCCCACGCATTATCTTTGCTATGGCTCGGGATGGTCTGCTCTTCTCGTGTCTGGCACGTGTCAGTGAGAGGAAGACGCCCACCGTCTCCACCTTTGTGTCAGGGCTTATGTCGGGTAGGTTCAGATGAGGCCAAAGACAACAGTGCCCTCTAGGGGAAGGAGGATGATGGAAAATCACATAAATACATAAAGCTGTAGAGTAAAAGTTAATACTTTTGTATGTTGTATAGAAATACAATATCTGCACTATATTGTGGTAAAAAGTCATTTTACATTGTTTGTCATAGTGTGATAATCTGTCTTCTTGCTGACTCGTTATTTTCCTCCCGTGTTTCCTGCAGCTGTGATGGCTTTCCTGTTCGACTTGAAGGACCTGGTTGACCTCATGTCCATTGGCACTTTGCTGGCCTACACTCTGGTGGCTGCCTGTGTGTTGGTCCTCAGGTAATCATCTGGGCTTATAATAATAATAATAATTATAATAATAATAGGTGTTGTAACAATACACACAAAATAATCAATAGTCGGGTATAATTCCTTTGTATAGCATATATATGTAGCATATATATGTATATTAATATAAGGAAAGAGAAAGAAGTTAATTAAAAACCCTGTGAAAGCATACTTTACCACACAAATATGTATTTAAAGGATTATGAGGGTTATGAAGAATCCTTGGTTATAGGCTAGTTAGGCCAAATGTGTGTGAACGTTTTTTTTTTAATTCTCACAGTTTTAATGAACATATGATACTGGTAGGTGATCAAAACTGATTTAAAACATGTAGTTTCAAATACAGCATCACATAGTCTTTGAGGATGAGAACAGTCACCTAGAATGTATCAAAGTTAGACATAACTTTAGTGATTCAACTATAAAAAACCTACTTAGATTACCGTATTTTATTCGCATCATGTATTAAATGCATATTGGACGACGGTTTTGAATCAACAAAATCATGTATAGCATATTAACCAGAAAGGAAACATTGGTTAACCCCATCATAATGTATGAGTTTTTCTTTACTTTCGCTAAAAAACATGATGGTGTGTTCTCAGCCTTAGTTTACAGCCTTAGGTTTTTAAGTCAGGTTTTGACCATGTGTTTTCCATCTGAAGGTACCAGCCTGAACAGCCCAGTAACGCCTATGAGATGGCCAACACTCAGGATGACCCTGATATGTCTGAGTCTTATAACGAGGGGAGCATTGACGTACTGGCACAAGCAGAGGATCGCCTCACCATCAGGAATGTGCTCTACCCTTCGAACACAGAGCCGTCCAACACGTCAGGGTTCGCCGTCAACATCTGCACCAGCGTACTAGGTGAGATGAATACAAAGCCCAGAGAAAACTAATACTAATACTGCAAAACCAATTACCTCTACTTATGGTTTTATTCTTCCCGTAGGTATTCTGGTCTTTGTTTTCAGCATTGTTGCTGTTCATGGAGGGCTGGCTGCCTGGTCAGTGTCTGTGCTCTGCATCATAGTGTTGGTCTGTATCATCGTCACCGTCGTGGTGTGGAGACAGCCGCAGAGCAAGACCAAGCTTGCCTTTAAGGTAAAGTGTGTTCTTTCACCAAAGAGTTCTTTTCACACTATTTCATAGTCACACGTACAAGATGACATTGTCAAAACGTGATAAGCTTGATGTAAATGACTCTGCTATTTGCAATAATGAGCATTTACAGCAATGTGCTTTATTGTTGTTTAGAATGAAACACAGAGACAGAGGAAACCACAACAAGCAAACAGTGGGAAGGGGAGGAGTTTGTCTTTAGATTGTACTGTTGCTCTTAACCTGCTAAACGACTTCTTATGTTTATGCAAACAATGTGAATTATGTGTACTTCTTAACATACTTGCCAGATATTTACAAAGTATATAATTAGTTATTGAATTGATTGCGATTTATTTACTTTGATTCAGGATTCAAATTAACTTGCTGAGAGGGGAAATTGGATATGTCATTTACATATATACTCAAATAGGATTTGAATTAAAGCCAATGGCTGCCTAGAAAACATAAACTAACTTTAGATTTATGGCAGGCTTTTGAAATAGTTTAGGCAACTTTTTTTTATTATATCACTGTCCGAGCCCATCCAGCTTACAGAAATAAACCATGCTGATGTTGTAAGAGTCTTCTACATGTGTATAAAACAATGCTAACACATGTTGCTGTAGCTTCTTGTTCTAAGTTTTAACAAGCATTGAGAGAATATATTTGGTATCCGGTTGTTTGTTATTTTAGTTTCTTTAGGAAATGTGTATCATAAGCACTATTTTGTTGAAGTCTTAGCTAATTGTTTTTAGTTTGCTTAGTTTTCAGTGTTGTTAAGAACAGATTGTCAGGGATTTCCCCGCACCATCACATCCAGACAATAGTCTTAAGGTCCATGTCACCCATTACTGTATGCGTTGAGTCCATATTTCTCTTAATATTTGCATTAAATAAACACACTCTCTCTTCACAGGTTCCCCTGCTGCCCATTCTCCCAGTCATGAGTATGTTCATCAACGTGTATCTGATGATGCAGCTCGGCAGAGGAACCTGGATGCGCTTTGCCATCTGGATGGTCTTAGGTCATTTGGATATTTTGCTAACAATCTGAAATATTATCTCTGCTGTTTTTGCTTTGACAATTAATTAATTTCCCTGCCACAATGTTTTTTTAGGTTTCTTTATCTACTTCGGCTATGGTATTCGCAACAGTGTAGAGGCATCAATGGCCAGGTCTGACGCCTACGCTCCAGCGTGCTCAATAAAGGGAGCCCCCATGGCCCCGGAGAAGGAAGCCTTTCTACACGAAATACCAAACGACATGGGAGACGACGATGAAGATTCATGAGGAGACAGGAGGTTCACTAAGCCACCATATTTCTGTTCTGTTGAACTCTCTAAAATAGCTGCATTGGAAATGCACGGAGACTTTTATGCCTCCCTCCAGTCAGAGAGTTGAGTTGTTTCCTTGTTTCTGCCAACATTTTTGAGTAAAGTAAAAGTAAAAGGGCTAGTTGGAAATAAAGATTAAATATAACTCCATTCATCTAAAAGAACAATATTTAAGTTTAGAGGAAATGATATTTTTATATATTTTGCACAATTAAATGTGTTAAAAAGCAGAGAACAAGTAGATTTTTAATGCACCTATTGTACATAGATCTATTTTTAACCCTAATTGTGGTTCCTTAATCCACAGTCAATCAGAAAAAAAGCCCCTTATTATGTTTTACTTCTGTAAAAGCATACTTGAACTTGACTTTTGACTTTTTTTTTCATTTATTTGACGGATATCTTTGCAAATGTTTGGCCCTTGTCATGCTGCATTAAAATACACAGTGCCTCTGTACCAGAGAAAATTAGTTTTATATCCACAATCCCTTATTCCACACCTTTTTTAAATTAATTGCATTTATTTAGATACAACCTTTTCAAACTCAGCTGAGAATGTTACTGTATCTTCAGTGCCTTTTTGTGTTGTTAGTTTCCCTCAAAGGTACACATTTGTATGCGTTGTTCTTGAGTATAACAAGTACAACTCTGTTACTGGGATGAACCATGTAGAAAAATGTGAGAAATAATGTGTAATGGGGCTGTGAATATCCTGGTATAATACTTTGTGATCAATATACCTCCATGTCAGATAGATGGTTTCGTCATGGCAGACTTTTACCAGAAAACAAATACACCAGTGTGTGCTCCATCAGGGAACTTTTTTAATCAGCCAAAGAAAGAAAAGCTGCTAACGTCGTGAAGTGATCTGTTAGATACTTCAGGCGATGTATTTTAAGTGCCTATTTCCCAAATGAATTTTAAACTATTAAGGAGGTATGATATTGCTCTTGTACCAGTTAGTGTGAATTGCATAATGTTTGTATATAATGTACTCTTTTTAAAAGCGTATATTTATAATATATAAGAGAAATGTCACCTTAGTTTTCTATTTTTAGTTAACATACATCAGAATGGGATGGAGTTTCCCATAATGATCAGAAACACCATACGTTACAGTGCTCCTCCATCAGTTGTTAACCCACAGTGTCTCTCACAGTCGGACATTATTTATTGATTATGGAGAGTAAAGCTGATTGTAAGTGTGTGCAGATTCCCACGGCAGCTAAAATTGGAAAACAAAGCTTTAAAGTATGTTTACTAAGGACTGAAAATGCAACAAGGTGAACAGTATTCTTATTGAGTCCTTTTTTTAAAGTGAAAACTATGATTTGTTTTGCTATTTATGTTCCCTTGAGAGAAACTAATGATTTAACCATGAGCCAAATTCTGTTACATTTATTTGGATAATGAGTTAAAACAATATTGCAATTAATCTATTTTGCAATTTTTCATCAATGACATTGAAATAGTACTAAATAGCTTTGTAAATAATTACTATTATGTCTCACGTTGATTTTAAGATATTGAAGCAGCATTGACGGATACGATTATGATGCAGAAAGTTACTGTTTTCCATCCACAACTAGCCTTATTTGATACTGGGAGATTTTGAATTAGTGGGATATTATCAAGTATACAGTTTTTTATTACATTCATAACAGTTAATGTCTGTTTTTGTAAATACTGTTTTGATTTTGCTTAAAGTTACTGCCAATGTTACATGTTTTTCCTTGAACCTCTACAATCTATCGTTGAAAGCATTGTGTAAAGTAAAATGGTGACAAACTGTGCCAACAGCTGTTGACTATAAATAGATTGAACATGTTCGATTGAAAGCACAAATTGAGTCAATAGGTTATACCATCAGCCTTAGTTTGTAATGGATGTAAACTTTTGCATGTTGCACTGTTTCAAAACTGTTGTGAAGCTTGAAAATCAAAAGGTATAAATGTGTTTACAGTGTATCAGAGTGGTGAAGTCAGCTGTTCAGCATGTGTTGTCTTTAATTGGTTGGGGTTTATATAGTTGCTGCTGTAAATAAATACTGCTCGAGGTTAGAGCCACAGACTTTGGTATCTTTGATTTTTGTGAAAATGATGTGCACACCCATAACAACAGCATGTTACATAATAGTTTGCCTCACATAGAAAATTGTACTATGTTTTTTCCACACTCTTTCAGTTCTGTGCTGATTGTTTTTTTAAATTTATGAATAATGACTTTAATTGTTTTGTTTTTGATTGACTACAACATTTAAGAATATAAAGTGCTCTATATTTTGTGGATAATTAACCCACCTCGAATTATAAAAACAAATGAAGCTATTATCCATCTAGATTTAAAAACCTGGAAGTGAAGTGTATTGTACATAAGTGGATTAGGGTGAAAATATTTTTGGGAATTTGACCATGAGTAAAGAAAACAATTATGTTCTGATTTCAAACATTTTAGGAAAAAAATTCAGAAAAAAGTCAGAATTCTGAAATTAAGGTTACATTTGTTTTACTTTTGGTCACATCCAACATTTTTGTCTCATGTGGCCCTTCTCCTCGTCCCTAACATTGCGACTGCTGCCAGTGTACTGTCGCTCTAAATATTTGATGGAGTAATTCACTAATTGACCAGCAGGGGGAGACCTGAGCCCGTGTTGCTATGGGCGTCGAGCCCTCCATGGTCGAGCCTCCTCTCCTCCCTGTTTTCAGCGACGGTGCAGTCTGTCTCCTCTTCATCACAGCGAGAGCTGGATGCGTCCCTCTCGCTTCTCCTCGTCCTCACTGTCGAGCTGTTCTCCAGAGGATTTCCTGAAACTGAACGGTAAGATCTACATTTCACACCGGGTGTGTTCTGCTTTCCCTCCCTGTCATCCTCAGATCTGCACCACTGAGAAGTAGATTTATTGACACTGCTGCATCTGCTGGAGGGAGACTGCGGATGGTCCTGCTGTTGGAGGTGTTTTTATTACCGATTTAATTTAAAAGTCTTGTTGCCATGATAAATTATCTTTGCTGTTGCATGCACTCGAGCTGGAAAGGGGGACTCGTTGTAAGTGGGCTCACCTCAGTATGTGGGTGTGTGTGTGTTTAGTGGGGTCAGCCCCTCTGATGTTTTTTCACCTCTACTGTATGTTTTTTTTCTCCCGTGTCTGTCATAAATGCAACAACGCCTTATGTTTTTCCTTCCTGTTTAGGGGTCATGTGTTGTTGATGCCCCTTATTTTTAGAAGCTGTAAGATGAGGAACAGGGCAGCGTGTGCATCAGGAACAGAGACATTATTTCTGCTGGTGTGGTGTGGTGTGTGTGTGTGTGTGTGTGTGTGTGTGTGTGTGTGTGTGTGTGTGTGTGTGTGTGTGTGTGTGTGTGTGTGTGTGTGTGTGTGTGTGTGTGTGTGTGTGTGTGTGTGTGTGTGTGGAGTGTGTGGTGTGTGTGTGTGTGTGTGTGTGTGTGTGTGTGTGTGTGTGTGTGTGTGTGTGTGTGTGTGTGTGTGTGTGTGTGTGTGTGTGTGTGTGTGTGTGTGTGTGTGTGTGTGTGTGTGTGTGTGGTGACCACAGTTGTTACTTAATGTAAGATGTGACAATGAAACACAGGAGCCTCCTTTTTTTGGGCAATAGCTGGTGATTATACTAATGTAAGGTGTTGATTTAAAATATCAACAACATAATTATTTTACATGTGCATGTCACATCAACATTTTTCCAGCATGTGTGTTGCCTCTTCACCCTCTGTGTCTTCACTTGTAGATTGTAGAGGCACACACTTTCTCTTGCTTTCTCAATGTGCTTAAGTCACAGAAGATCAGCTGTGAGCTTTTGTTGGTTACACAAAGAAGTAAAGGCCACTGAGGCGTGAAAAAGAGAGGGAGACCGGTGCCTCCATCTTCATCCATCCTCAATATTTCATGAGGATTCCAGATTAAGCATTTAGTGAAGCTTGATGGACAAATGAAGGCCTTGATCTCTGTGCTCTGCTACAGATGTATGACTGCTAACAACGAAATAGATTCTGTCTCCCTAAGAAAAACAAGTGGTTTGAGCACACACACAAGCACTCGCTCTAGAATGCACATATTTCATCAGAGGCCCCGATGAAAGTCCCGCCATCATGCTGCATATCAGGAGGCAGGTGGTGGCGGGGGGAGTTGCTGAACAATGGGGGGATGGGGAAACATGCTCAGGGAAGCATGTTGACATTATGAGCATACATTTCCTCAGTCTGCTTAATGTCACCGCAGGATCATTATCGGCTGTTGCCACCATGAGAAGAAAGCAATCAGAGAATGTCATTTAAAAGGGGGTACGGAAAAAAGGGGTGGCAGCGACAGGGCCAATGAAGGAAAGAGCCTACGTGCACTGTGTTACAGTATGTGCTGTTTGGGTGGATAAGGCAATGGGGTCATAAAGGAAGGGAAGAGTGTCACTTCAGTCACTCCAAGTATTATAACTGCACTTTTTCAGCCAGTGAAACCAGCAGCACCCTTTTTTTTCTTCATCAGTCTCCTCCAGACTCATAGCTCCTCTGAGATTAGTGAAGAGAAAGAGGTTGAAATGAATTAAAAAGTTTAATTATCTCTGTGATACTTTTAATTCATCCAGGATGAGAGACTGTGAAGCAGAAAATTAACAGATAGCCTACGTACAATGCAAACTCTACTCACAAAAAAAAGGGCAAGTTGGGTAAAATAAATAGGTGAACAAGAGAGGTTTTATGAGATATAGATGGTAATGTTAGCATTGATGTTATTTCCTAGCCACATTCAACATGTCACTCCCTGTTCAAATGAGTGTCATATGTACAGTACTTTGTCGGTACACTCTACAATGCACTGAATTGGAGATGGAAATCAATTTAAGAGATGGAGAAGCAATCTCTGCAGCAGCCGAAGAAATCCTGTTAGCGAACAGAATGCAGTTTTCTCTTGAAACAGGACTTCATTTGTCCAATTTGACATCTCTTGTCAGGCATGTACATGTAGGGATTTTAACCAGAGCTGGATCGGTTTAATAGAGTCACAGTAACTGTATAGTATTGTTAGAGAAATGATAGGGAGGCTGGGGAGAGTTACTGTAGGTGTAAGGGAATCTAATTTATTGGTGTCTGCAGTGCAGGTGCTGACACAGCATTTAGTGCAGTGTGTTTGCCTGTACTGTAAACAAAACATGTATGTCTTTGGGCCCTCTTTGCATCACTAGTACAACACATAGTATCATTATTTATGTCACCAAAGGAGTTTCCCCTCCTTACTCTAAACATGCAGCGAACTTTATTATCACACATTGGAAACTATTAGACATGTCCTGCTCTGTAGGCATTAACAGTAAAAGGACATACATGGTGATCGAAGAGATGAGGTGGAGCAGTAATCAAGGTTAAATGCCTATTGGATGATGAGTTGAACAATATAACAAACTGATAACAAAGTTATGCTTTGTTTTCTCCTTGAGCTGGTTTTAGGCAGGTTTTTGTTAAGCTACTGCTACTACTATATGACAAAAGCAACCCGGTATCACTGCAATATACTAATCGCGAATCCTGACGTCTCCCAGTGTGGACCAACGTGACATTTTCACATCTTGCTGTGATACCGGGTTGGACAAAAGACTACTTAAGTGGAAAAAAAGTGTTTTCATGGTACCTAGTTGAACGTGTTCCTGTGAGGGTCTGTTGAAGCTCTCTGAACTCTACAAGTGCAAAGCCACTATAGGTAAAATAGGTAAATTGCAGACATCCTTTATAATGTGCTTTTGCAAAAGACATGAAGGTAAACAGCTTAGATGAAGCATTGTACCACAAATTGATTATTCTGATTAATAGTTATGTCCTAATCTGATAAATAGAGAAGAGTGAAGACATCTGCTGACAGGTCACAATCGTTGGGTTGTTAAACAGTAAATACAGCTATAATAATCAGTAATGAACAGCCATACTGTGGTGCCATCTGCACAGAAACCTTACATTTATTTGACAGTCTTAAACTCAATAAGTTCCCTGCGATGGTATCAATAGTGAAAGTCAATCCCACGTTGTATTACAGATATATCATTTCAACAATTGTGTACCCATACCCATTCATAGCTAATGTTGAAAAACAGACGTAAATGCCCCACAGCACAGCATGCTGTCATAATGCCCCCCCCAAACACAGCTCCTCTGCAAGAATTACAAAAATATGCTTATTTTCATGTCAAATAGTGACATGTTGTTGTATCATTGTCGCCTGTTGAGAACATGATCTGGGATTGGTAACATTTATGAGTTTACAGGCTTTTTAAAGCATCAAAGGCAACCGTAAGCAGTGACGGGGGAAATCTAGCAGGCCAAATCACAGTTGCTGCAGAATGTAAATGTGGTGCTATAAAAAACTTGCTTGTGCCCTGAGACTATTCACAGTTTTGCGAGGGAAATTCATTGTTTTGGCTATGGAACAAATCCTTTCCTAAGGCAGATACTTCTTGCTCATTCGAAGGCAGTCCAGTGCTGCTGCAAAGATGATTATTTAAACAGAGGAACTCAGTTAGAATGGAAACATTAGGTATAATTGGAATGTCAGAATATACAGTAGGACACACGTCTTGCAGCGTTTTCTCCTCTCTTGTCTCTTGAATACAATTTTGTTGTTCTTAAAAACCTACATTTATTGTATTTTCCTGGTATGTTCGGCAAGCTTGAATTCAGAAAAGAAAAGCTTTTTTGGGGTTGAGCTTCCTTTTGTAAATCAACTTCTGAAGCTTGTCTATCAACATGTATGGCAGGAGAGCAGACAATTGAAATCCCATGTATTGTACCCTGAAAATGTTCAAGTCATCTTTCATTTGTTGATATTTAAAATGTAATTTATTGTCTTTATACAGGATAAGGACCACAGATGTCATGAAGATCCATCTTCCGAATTAGACATGATATTCAACATTCCGATTATTGATGTAATGGAAAGAGGTTTTGTTGCTGATGCCATGGATGATTGATTTTTAAAGTGCTCTTGTGGCGCTCTAAACTCAGAGTTGTTTCCAAAATGAGCGGTCGAGGAGAGCCCTTCCGTGAGGGGGAGTTAAGAAATAGCAACCAGCAGACTGACGGTGATGCCAACGCCAATGAGATCCGGACAGAAGATGGCCGGATGATGGCTGAATCTGGCACTATGACTGAAACAGTACAGCAGGACAAAGTCATCATCTGGGGTACAGACTCGCAGTGTGAGGACCCCGACCTGGCCGAGTTCGAGATGCTGGAGTGTCAGGAGCTGGAGGCCTACGTGGTGGAGGATGGCAAGGACTTTGCCGGGGTTGCTGAGCGAAAAAGGCGTCAAGACCCGAATACATCCCGTAGCAAAGGTTCAGCTGACCATGTGACGGATAATAAGAGCAGGGGAGAGATAAAGACTATTCTGCATGAAGCCGGTGAGCAGGACACCAATGCCTCTCAGAAATCTGAGAGCAGAGAGTTGTCCAAGGCTGAGTTAAGTTCAGAAACGGATGTCTTTGTGTCCTGTCTGTCCACCATTTCAAGCATGGACACTGCTATGGACACTACTGTCAGATCCCAGACAACAGACTCCTGGCACATTGCCTCTGGGCCTTACTCAACCATCTCAGAAGACTTGACTCTGACAACTGACAATGTCCCCGAGAGAGGCAAGGTCTCTCAGAGAGCTGATCATCATCCCCTCCTCTCAGGAGAAAACACAATTCACGGGATAGATGTGGACATGAATTTGAATTCAACAGTTCAATCTGAGGATTTGGTATCAGAGGCACAAGTCAGCAATGGAGTTTTTATGTGTAAGGATGCCTTTGATGAACACAGGAAGAACAATAACCAGATAAATAAAGTAGGCAATGCTATTGTAGAGGGAGAATTTGATAAAAGGAGAAGTACTGAGCACAAGGGTATACCCACAACAAAAACAGCACACGAACAAAGCAACATTAAAATGGATAAAAGCACACAAGCTGACGAGGCCCCAGATGTGAACTTCAGCCCGTCAAAAACAGGTACAAAGGGGAATCAGTCATCATTTGAATCCAAAGCCATGAAGAAACAAGGATCATTTGATAACTCGTTGAAAAAACAATACCCTCCTGAATGGAGTTACAAAAAACAGCCATCGTTTGAAACTACTTTAAAGAAGCAGCCATCCTTTGAAAACACCTTCAACAAGCAGGGCTCTTTTGAGAACACAGTACCCTCCAGTTCTTCAAGTCTGGAGAGGAGGAAGCCATGGGGAAGCCCAAGTCGACCAGCAACTCCTACTTCCCCTAAAATAACTTTTGGATCCCCCAAGAGACGACTGCTTGGGTCTCCAGCGAAGGTCCAGAGCATCAGGTCTCTGAGCTTCGAGCGCAGCGACTCCCCTCAGAGAGGTTTGGGTCCAACTGTCAGACCACCAGGTAAGACAGGTCTGAGCAGCTGCATCCCCAAACCTGTCTCTTCTCAGCAGAAAGAGCCTGAACCCAGGAGGTCTTCTCCTCCCCAGAAGCCTAAAAATGTCCGACCCAAAATAATCACCTATGTTCGAAAGAATCCTCAAGCTAAACCGCAAGGGACAGAAGTCCCAATCGAAGGCTCTACACTCCCACAAAGAATATCCTCTTACTCCAGCCCACCAGCTCAGAAAGATGCACAGGTTGGTACTCAACCTAAATCCTCGCCGGTGCTATGCTCCTCCAACCTGCTGTTTGACAAATATCGACAGGAGATGCCGAAGTCAGGTTACCATCCTCCAGGCATGGCTTCTGCTGGGGTAAAACCTCCAGGCAACACCGCTCCTCAAAGGTTGAGTGGGAAGTCGGGCAGTTTTCATGAGGATATTCCAGAAAAAACACTCCAGGAGGTGAGTCATTGATAAGAAGAAAGGGTGCTATTAGTTGTTGAAACCAATACATTAAAATAACATGCAAATTACAAAATATCTAAGTGATACAAAAGCTTGAAAAAGTAAACTTAAACGTATTTGGAACTCTCCTTAACCCTCTGAAAGTAAATAAACAAGTTATGTACAGTCTGTTACTATCTTACCAAGCAGTAATGCTAACGATAAATGTCACAGTTGCTAAATGCTGAAAAATCTCTTTAGGTTGCTTGTATCTTTTTTGATGTGGCTAACATTCATGCAGTCACATGTTATGGTATGCAGCACTTCTATGCAGTCTATGCCAACCCGGTATCACGGCAAGATGTGAACATGTGACGATTTACCATGCTGGGAGACGTGAAGATGTCACGATTTCGTCCCTTCAAACGTGACAGTTACACGGTATTGTTAACATGGCCCAACCAGTGGAGATATACCCGGAAATGCCAAGCAAATGCTACCCCGACGGTCGGTTGTTATTGTCAATTTTAATATAATAATGATTTATTTTTTAATAGTCACACTCGATTACGCCAATTTTCTTGTTGCCCCAGCTGGTCGACACCTCTTTTAGCAGAAACAAAGGCTACATTAATGTATTAAATTGATGTTAATCCATGTGTGTGGATCTTATATATACAGTCTATGGTGTGGATGTGGAATTAACGGACGTGACGTTGTGCGATTGCGTTGCCAGGCAACAGCTTCGGTTCATGTTAATTTACAAACTCTTCAACTACAACCGTAGTTATATTTAAAAACATGTTAGAAGGCCTCACGAAATACTTTAATGTAAATTAAAATGTAAATGTGAAGGAATGTGTGTATAACAAAATATATCCGTCATTAACAATACCGGAAACAGACGTAGGCAAGATCCTCAGCTCGGTGATTCGATGGTTTAGCCGAAATAAATAATGTTAAAAATAATACTTTATTCCGAGTGTGCTTGCTTTTCTCTTTGAAAGTCATCACATAACGGCATTGTAATACACGGTTCGGCTGCATTAAATATTACATATCTGCCGTAGTTCTCTATTTATAGAGCCCTGATGAGAAGACTTCTAGACAAACAGGAAGAACTGCCGCCAAAACTGAAAACTTGACGTGGATCATAAATATATCAGCAATTAAACAACTTCTTACATTTCTTTTCACACAATACGTCTCCTTGCAGTATCAACACTAATTCGGCTGACTTTTATATTTGATCCAATTGGTAGATAGGCTGTATTTACACCATAACGGTGCACAGCTGATAGAAAGGGATTTTTTTTAGAAATTATTTTATTATTTTTCACAAAAATGAAACCATCAATAGCAAAAACAGAATTAACTGTCATTAGTAAACCACTCAAATAAAAAGATCATAAGTGGTTTTGTTTTACATATATTTTAAGGATAATAATAGCAATGTAACACTGTCTATGACACTTATAACACTGATTTGAAAAACATACAGAAAAAATGTATTCACTGCCCTTAATAAAGTATTTAAATATACATTTCAGGTGTGCTGTTTTGTTTAGTAATGGATATTGAATATGGAATAAAGGTTTTGACAAGACCTGGTGTAACAATAATCACCTCAGTGTTTAAAGAGTCTAGAATCAACTTTGTATACTTTATTTTTGCAAAAACAGATAATTAACATCTGGAGCTCTTTTAATGTCCTTTTTGATTATTGTTACACCAGGTCTTATCAAAACCTTTATTCCATATCCATTACTAAACAAATGTTAACAATATCGTGTAACTGTCACATTTGAAGGGACGAAATCGTGACATCTTCACGTCTCCCAGCATGGTAAATCGTCACATGTTCACGTCTTGCCGCGATACCGGGTTGGTCTATGCAGCCTCATCTTTTGATTAAGGATGCCAAAATTGTTCACACATTTGCAATGTTTTCATGTAGTAATGAGTGAAATAATCTACTTTATAATTGCATCATAACCATAATATTTCCTGTCTGATTAAATATTTGATGTGATGACAGTGACATTTATAATGTTCCTCCTCAGAATGTTTCCCAGGATGGATGCAGTGTCTTTCGCTCACCCAGAGCTCTGAGGCCTCAGTTGGGGTTAGGAGCGGTCACCAGGCAGCCTGCAGCCAAGACAAGAGTTCAGATGGGTCAGAGGTCAGCCCCAGTCCCAGGCCAGTCTGCTCAGCCAGCCGGAGCATCCAACCAAGGCAACCAAGACCCTGCAGGTGAGACGGTGGTCTGCTGGCCAATTTGGTGGACATGTTTAACATAAAGACCATTGTGGGAATATATATCATTAGAGCTTTTTCATCTGCAAACATTGCTATTCTGTGCCGTCCCATCCTCCTCTAGTCGAGCTGCAGAGAAAAATGTTGGCACGCTGAGTGATTCACCCATTTTATTTTTCCCCCTGTGATGCGTTAGATGAGGCTTGGCTTTTTGCACCTAAACTCTTTGAAGTGCAAACCATTTGAAAGCAATGTAACAGACACATCCGACCCACTTGCACTGCATATTTCTACCTTCTCACATAAATAGTCAGCTTCCTGTGGCGACTGTGGCTGTGAGGGAGTGCGGTCGTCTTTCAACCAGAAGGTTGTGGGTTCGATCCCAGCCCATGCAGTCAACATGTCGATGTATCCTTGGGCAAGATACTTAACCCTGAGTTGCTCCCGATGGCATGGCCAACGGTGTGTGAATGTGTATGCATGTTAGGTCCTAGAGTAACATACACTGCTCTGTATGAATGGGTGTGAATGGGTGAACGACGTGTAGTATGTAAAGCGCTTTGAGGGGTCTTAAAGACTGGATAAAGCGCTATATAAGTACAGTCCATTTACCATTCCACATATGGTGTCTCTTATTATGTCCAATTTAATCAGAATGATAGTTGTCATATGTTTTTTTGGTAAATCATATTTTCTTCACTCACAACAATGAGAAAGGTCTTCTTACACCATCTGCATCTGTGAAAAATAATCCTGATCCCAAAGTTATGTCTGTCAAGAACTTTAGTAACACTAACAAATCAGGGATGGCACAAGTATTTAACCTACAATTGCCAAGTGTAATGTCATTCATGGAATATCAGTTTCAATATTGAATTTGACGAAATCATATTTCTAATTTTACTTCTACATTCCCTATGTGTAAGTTTGTAATAGACGCAGAATGTGTGTCCCATATCTCATAAGGCTCCCCCACTAATATTGCATATTTCCTCATGAACCTCCAGGAGATCAGAAGAGGTCTGGTCTCCGTCCTCCAGGCTTCTCCGCCCTGCCAAATTCCCGTCTGGCTACCCTCGGCTTTGTCCGTAGCTCCAGTGCCTCATCTGTGTCCAGCAATCAATCAAACGACAGCAATCAAAGCGATCCCTGCCGACCTTCTGAGCGTGAGTCACACTCAACATATTATGAATATGAATTAGAGCTAAACCGTTTTCACTACTTTATTTTAAAATGTGTGATCCACACAAAGACATTTCGGACGTCAGACAGTGCTCCGCCGGGTTTTCCAGGTTTAGGTTTTATCACGTCTACATCTCCTCGTTAGTTTACCAGAAGTCAAGGCTGCTTCTGCTATCCTCTGTTACTATAGTAACCACCGCTCACTTCCTTTAATTTTTCATGCATTTTATCACAAGTAGGAGCTGAAAGCTGCTGCACCACCGAGGCTGCGATGAACAAATATTGAAGTTGCTCTCCCCCTGCTGCACACTGCAGAATTTTATCCTTCAAAATACTTTATTCTTGATTTAGGGAAATCTTTGCTGCTCAAATGCACTGGATAAGCTTATAGGCCTATCTCTGAGTTTGACCGAGATGTAAGAAATGTGTCAAAACAAGCTGAAGAGTTTCCAGCTACTTACAGCTTTTAATGATTATATGTATAGGAGTCCAAATGTGTTATGTTACAACATAGAGCTACTGCAGAATCATTTGTTCATATTGCTGACTCATACTGTACCAAGCAATATCTGAAAAAAGTGTTTCCCTCCTTCATTTTTACATTCATCCCATGATCCCACACAAAGTGACACTTCTAACAGCGGTACTGATTCAATCTTTGCTTAATTACTGTCTGCTACTTTGGTTTTACTATGAATATCAAATGTACAAAGAAACAAGAACAAGAAAAAGTTTATTCAAAACATTGTCTAGATAAGCTTGCAATTGTTTAAGCTTAAGTGTCCCGGTAGCATTTGTACTGACTGTGCTGATATGATGAGTTATTGCAGTCATCGCTTGAGTGTCACCACATTTGTTTCAGCCTTAAACCGCTGACTGCTGCCATTCCTGCCCTTCACTTTTACTGTATAATTCTGAACTGCTGGATTCAGACACTCCTTCAGCTTCTTGTTCAGGTAGGGTCCTTACACTGGGAAATAAATATAAACTATGGTGTCTCATGCACGATGCAGACCCCTAGCCAGTAGCAGATTTCCTTATGTATAATCTCTGAAATTAAAATGTTTCGGCAGCAGCGGCGGCTGCAGTATGTGTCAAAAAGAGAGAGGCAGGGTATGACAGGATAATCTGTTAAAGCTGTTTTTACTCCAACACTTCCAACCTCTCTCTTGCTGATGGATCTCCTCCACAAACGTTCATTGAAGTCAAGTGAGATAATGGTCTTTCTGCTTTAGATTCCCCTCCGTAAAAGTCTCCAATGTACACTTTACTGGGTTATTTTCGTACTTTTCTAACACTGATTCGTCAGAAAACAAGCACAGCGTAAGATGATAACCTGTAGTCATGTAAATGTGGCCTACTCATTTTTTATTGCCATTGTTTTCTGTTTTATCTTGGGTACAGATTTGCTGTGTTGTTATCAGCTGCTTTAGTAAATAGATGGATGTACCTGATATTAGACTGGCAGCTTGCACGGCGGTGTTCCCCTTCAGGTATAGCTGCAGACTGAGATGCTTCATTATAATGCCACTGTATGCCTTGAATGAAGCCACATTAACTGGAGATGCACTTTAACAAAATATTTTTGACTGAGAGTGAGTACATCTGGCGAGAGTGAGTACATCTGGCATTATGAGCACCAGGACGCTGGTGACGTATCAAATGAAATGTTCAGTTAGCTCAGTGAGTGCAGTTACACTGCAGGCAAGATACAATTGTTATGTTGTCTGTGTTTGCGCTACAGTGTAGTCAGTGGTACTCAGTTGTTTTGTCACTGAAAAACAAAAATAATTGTAACTGACAACATGATAAAAACGACTAATCACTTCATATTCCTGTAATATCAGTCTGAAACTGCACGACACAGGCCAGACATCTCAATTAAAAAAAAAGCTTATTCTTAATTAGATTGAGAGGAATAATTGAGAAATGATAAATGAGAAGTGCACATACAGTAGATATAAAGGTAAGCATGATTGCAAATCCAAAGCAAAATGCCTGTATTCAATCCACTTAAAATGTCTGTTCTCACTTGAGTTAGTCACCAGCAGAGCAGAGTCCTTCTTGCTTCATGCTGGTGGTGTAACACTGATCTCAGGAGGCTTGCAGCAGGGATGGATTTGTACTGTATATGCAGGTTAAAAGAAGCATTCAGCAGTGTGAGTCAGCCTCCAGCCGTGTCCTTCAGACAAACCACTTCTTGGCTCAGCCTCATTTTAGTAATACGCCTTTGGAAAAAAGCATCATCTGAATCTCCCAGGTGAATATGCTGCAGAGAGGAGAGCTACAGTGATCCCACATGAGGTTTCACACAGGTACTGGGCATGTTGTCATCAAAAATGACTTCATTTATTTGAAGTCTAATTATATATTGCTACAACAGTGTATTGTTTAATCTGTGATTTCAGCATCATTAAACAATCCTATGACTTATTCATCCTTTGACAATATATATTTTATTTCAAGGGCACACACCTGTCCTTCCTTCCTCTTTGAGAGTGCTGAGGCACCTATACTGTAGGTGCAGCATGTGTCAGCAGCAGTGTTATCGATTGAGGAGCTGAATATTTCATGAAAAGTAAGCGATCCACTTTCACTTACTGACAAAGGAGAGCTAAATGCAGATTTTTTTAAATAGTACTTGAATCCAGAGTTTATCCGGAATGTTATAAAATATAACACCAATGTATGACAACAAGGATCTCCCTGTACTGTACGCGTGGTGGAAAGCTTTCATCTTGGTGATGTGTTTCTGTTGGACTTCTCCCTTGTACAGCCTCAGTTTTTCTACGAATCAAAGCCTTTCATTTTTTCAGAAAGCTTGGGGCGTGATAACAGCTGTTATGAATAATTGAGATGTTTGCAACATGCTGCTGCTTTGCTAGTCTTAATTAATTTCTGCAGTTAAGGAAAGAAAAACTCTCTAAGGAAAGTCGATAACGTGCCCATCCTTGATCCTGAAAATGTAAATGCAAGGAGTAAAGGTCCGATGATCCTGAATAGGTCAGTGAGAGGTGGCATACTATACAGGGGTGTCAATAGCAGTGACAAAATATACAGCATATATTTAAAATGTCCAAAATGGATTTACTTTAGGTAATTTACTGTATAAATTAATGCACATGTACAAAAAACATGACTAATTAATGCTACAATGCTTCCATCCCATGGGGTTTTCATTTTTTCTTGCAGTTTTAACAAACCAAGCTTTGTTCATGAGAATGTGAATAATGATGTGGATAATGCAAGCCAAGTTGCAAACATACATTTGATGTGTATTGTCACGTACCGTTAGAAGGAACATCTTTTGAGTATGTGCAGCCAAGTAATACTCAAAATGCTTCAATTCTCAGTAACGCACTGTGATGTCGGCTAATGTTGGTATAAAATATACCCCCATTTTCTCATGCACCAAACTGAAAAATGTAATGTAATTGGTAACTTTTAAAAATCCTGACTCTATGACTTAATTGTTCTGTTCTCTCACACCCTTCCTGCTCTTCAGATCATGGCAGTGGCATCGATGACACACCTCACCAACACGCCCCTCAGCCTCCCAACGCCCCCAGCCTGCAGCGCCGCAGTCTGCCCCCGCAGGGCTGCTCCCCGCTCGGTACGTAGCCTTTGGAAACATGGGTCCGCTTCTCAATTTGTATGTGTGTGTGTAGGATGTGCAATGTTAAAGATAACATCCTATGCTGCTGTTTCAACAACCCCCATATCAAGGTTATGCTGTCCTGTGATCACATGACCCTTGACAAATGATACATAAATGGCCTAGTTGACTTTTTAGTGAGTTTTTCCAAGGTCTCTTATCTGTATGTTATTTATTCTCAAAATACAATTGTGAGATTCTAACCACGAGGGAAAAGTAAATAGTCTTGCACCTTTTACGAAAATCGAACACACTTGGTCTTTGTCAGGGCATTTTCATTTGTGTTCATCATTTCATTAATTGCCTCCCTGAGAATCCTTCAGAGAATTATGGGAGGCTTGTGGCACAGTGAGTTAGTGCGCTGATCTTTGAATCAGAGGATAGCAAGTTTGAGTCCCACTGCAGTCAGCATGTCGTTGTGTCCCTGGGCAAGACACTTCACCCCACATTGCTCCTGTGGGGATTGCCCACAGTATTGAGTATGTAACACAAAGTGACGCAACTTCTGGTCCAGGCTCTCGTCATCTCACACCTATACTGCAACTCCCTCCTGGCTGGTCTACCTGCATGTGCCATCCGACCTCTGCAGCTCATCCAGAATGCAGCTGCATTCTTCAACCTTCCAAAATGTTCCCACACCACACCACTCCCTTCACTGGCTTCCAGTAACTGCTAGAATCCACTTCAAGACACTGGTACTAGCGTACCATGCTGTGAATGGATCTGGCCCTTCCTACATCCAGGACATGGTTAAACCGTACACCCCAGTACGTGCACTCGGCTCTGCATCAGCCAAACGACTCACTGCACCCGCACTGCGAGGGGGACCCAAGTTCCCATCAGCAAAAACACGTGGGTTTGCTATCCTGGCTCCAAAATGGTGGAATGAGCTCCCCATTGACATCAGGACAGCAGAATGCATACACATCTTCCGGCGCAGACTGAAAACTCATCTCTTTCGACTCCACTTTGAGCGACATAATTACTATCAAAGCACTTATATACACTGAACAAAAATATAAACGCAACACTTTTGTTTTTGCTCCCATTTTTCATGAGATGAACTCAAAGATCTAAAAAATGTTCTATATACACACAATAACCATTTCTCTCAAATATTGTTCACAAATCTGAAAAAATCTGTGATAGTGAGCACTTCTCCTTTGCCGAGATAATCCATCCCACCTCACAGGTGTAGCATATCAAGATGCTGATTAGACAGCATGATTATTGCACAGGTGTGCCTTAGAATGGCCACAATAAAAGGCCACTCTGAAACGTGCATTTTTGCTTTATTGGGGGGGTCTGGGGGGGTCCGAAAACCAGTCAGTATCTGGTGTGAGGGGTAGGGTTAGGGGTAGGGTTAGGGTAATGTTGTGAATCGAGTGGCCCATGGTGGTGGTGGGGTTATGGTATGGACGACAAACACAAGCCACTCGATTCACAACATTACCCTAACCCTAACCCTAACCCTAACCCTAACCCTACCCCTCACACCAGATACTGACTGGTTTTCGGACCCCACCAGACCCCCCCAATAAAGCAAAACTGCACGTTTCAGAGTGGCCTTTTATTGTGGCCAGCCTAAGGCACACCTGTGCAATAATCATGCTGTCTAATCAGCATCTTGATAAGCCACACCTGTGAGGTGGGATGGATTATCTCAGCAAAGGAGAAGTGCTCACTATCACAGATTTTTTCAGATTTGTGAACAATATTTGAGAGAAATGGTTATTTTGTGTTTATAGAAAATGTTTTAGGTCTTTGAGTTCATCTCATGAAAAATGGGAGCAAAAACAAAAGTGTTGCGTTTATATTTTTGTTCAGTGTACTAATAAAGGACTGGCTTATCTAAAGCCAGTTGAGTAGCACTTGAAATGTTTTAGCTCTATGAAACCTGATGTACTTATATGATTCTGTTTTCTTCAAGTTTTTATCTTCTTGGTCGAATGCACTTATTGTAAGTCGCTTTGGATAAAAGCATCAGCTAAATGCAATGTAATGTAAGTCGCTGTTACGTTCCCTCTAAATCTAGGGGTACCAAGGGAAGTAACAAAACACAACGTTGATCAGGCACGAGAAAAAAGAGAGGAAACCGTTCTCTGGAGTCACGAACAGGCCTTTTAATAGTCAAAAAAAGAACACAGGCTGCTCACCTGCTAACTTTCACATTAAACTAGGGATGGCAGTTTGACACTGAAGCTTCGAACGGAGCTTCAACCCTGGACTTCCTATTCCATAGAAGCAGGGTTGCGTTCCGATAATCCAAAAATCAGCTCCTAAATTCTAACCCTATCTCCTATTCCTTGACCTCTGAATGAAACGTCACGGGGTTAAGGGATAGTGGATAGGAGAATTCAAAAGGACTTAGGAGAAGAGACCGCAGTACTTTAGAGAATCCGAATGCACTTTCACTATCCGACGTGTTTATGATGCGCCAGCGGACGTCATGAATGTGCGTCTGCTGCTGTGGGGAAACTATGGAAACCACAGTTTTCTATACAGCGGACTACAACATGGATGTTTAATAAGATCGAGGGACTCATCTAGAGACTCTGCACCGTGCTCTGATGCTGTTGTTTTATGCTTTATGAACGTGGACAACAGAGAAACATATTCTTCATGACCAAAGTTGGAATTGAAATAAAAAAGGAAAGTGAAACTTATGCTCGTCACCCTCTCCCTCCGGTCCACATTAATACAAATGATCCCAATACGTATGATTGTATGAACTATGAAAATATCTTAAAATCAATACAAATGTATTTATTATAAACGTTAGTCCTTAACATATATCACTGTGTATATCACCATTCAAACATCTTTTAAAAGTTGAACAAACCCCACACAGCTCAGTAAAGACTGTGAGATGTTGACTTTATTTGATCATTTCAGTAAAAACTAACGTTCATATTTCTCTTTTTGATTATAATACTGATGAACGTTCAGAAAAAAGCAATTTGGCAACTTACCACATACGTTTTAAAATGCTTAATAAGCACCGTAACTTTCATGATATAATTTCTCCGTCATAATCGGTTGTTTCCATGAACGGCCGACTGTTGTGATGGCAAATGCTGCGGCTGCAATGTATTGTGGGGCAGCATTTTCTCCTCTCCTTTCGGTTAGGGAGGTCCAGTGGTTCCTAAGCTAAAGGAGGTTATAAAGGAAGTTTGAAACCTCCTTTCCTTTCATTTGGAGAATTGGAACGGCACTTATCATGGCTGCCAGTGACGTACTTCCGGGTCATTTCACTCCGTTAGGAAGGTTCCTAAGCTAAATGGACTATTGGAATGCAACCCAGTGCTTCGAAGTTTGCTTCAAATCCAACACACTCTCACTCCCTAAGCGTCCAGGAGCGACGTTTGGTCAGTGTCCGTGGCGTCCAGTTGTGACGCTCCTAGGCTCCTTCAGCGTCATAAAGGGACGCAAATAGCTTTCAACTGATTGCAATGTATTCCCATCTGCGGCGGGAATTGACGCTCATGGAAGCACGGCATTCGTTTGTGTCGGCTGCCCTTAAAGGCAATGTGAGCGTCCATTCCCATTGGATAACGGAGAATTGTACACCCGGAAGTAAGTATTCCTCTTACTGTCGATTGATTTTACAGTGATATCTGCACTACTCATCGACTAAAAAACACCAGATTATCCTTGTTAATTACACAACATTGATTGGTTTAAATTGTGTGCAATGCTTTTGTATTTTTCCCCTTCGATTCGGAGAAACAAATGTTTTTTCTGAGTAAAGGATGGCAGAAGACACTACACTACCCAGAATCCCCAGCTATCGTTTGGACTACACCATGTGCTCTGTTTGACAAACCCCGTGATAGTCCTCAAGCTCTGTGATTGGAGAGTGTGCTCCGAGGGTTACGCCGATTTTCGAACAGCACTTGAAATGGGATGGAACCATAAACGGCAGACTGTCCAAAACTGGATTTGAACGGGTCCACCGCGTCCCCCACCCCATTCCCAGAACTACACATGCTGGCTATTCTGTTTCGCAACATGTTCTGTATCTATGGCACGTCTCTACTGGGAGTTGTAGTTTTAAAATCGTTTTCGTATTTCCCATAATAAGAAGTTGCCAGTATTAAACTGTGTACATCCCTGGAGGTTTAGGGGATAGGAAACACTCAAATTTAAAACATATAATTAATAAATGGGTGAAAATTGCTTGTGCCCATAATGGGCAGCATTAATATATATACACACATGCCAGCTAAGGTCAGAAGAGCTTTATTTAACAGCTGGTCTTATGTTTGTGACCCCTGTTGTTAATTGATAACATTACATTACATGAATTGATAAGCCTGAAACATGCACTTGTCAAGGTTCAGAGGCAAATTTTGCAAATATGGCAGTAGCCATCGATCAGCTTAAAATAAGATATACTTTATTGATCCCAAGTTGGAACATTTTCGTTACATCAGCATGTGTAACAGTTGTAAATATGCAGTGGTATTTATTTGTAAATCATTTAGTATAATCACACAAATTCTGTGTTTTATATTTAACAATTCTGTGATCTTTATTTATTGATTGTTCAATACCTGACAAGGCCGGAGATGAAATATCTACATACATCTTATAAGAGTATAATACATTATGTATAATATCAGTTAAAATAAGTGCTTCAACATAGTTAACATTGCTGGAGGTATGCACAAATATTGATAGATGTCTTGTAATGCACTATTGAGGAACCTGCGACCCAAGTTTTTCATTCAATGCAGAACTACACCATAGTTGTGTAGGCCTATATGATATGTCAATAAACCTTAGAAAATCTTGAAAGGGCTGTGCAAAATAGTCATTATATACAGTCTTTAATGAACTATTAGTAGAGAATAACGAGTAATGAATATACTTTATAGGGATCCTATTAATATCTAATAATAAAAATAATGAAATTCAATAACATGCTTTAACCACTAGGTGTCCCTTTATATCAGCTGTGCACCTTTATGGTGTAAATACAGCCTATCTACCAATTGGATCAAATATAAAAGTCAGCCGAATTAGTGTTGATACTGCAAGGAGACGTATTGTGTGAAAAGAAATGTAAGATGTTGTTTAATGGCTGATATATTTATGATCCACGTCACGTTTTCAGTTCCTCATGTTTGTCTATAAGTCTTCTCATCAGGGCTCTATAAATACAGAACTACGGCAGATATGTAATATGTAATGCAGCCGAACCGTGTATTACAATGCCGTTATGTGATGACTTTCAAAGAGAAAAGCAAGCACACTCGGAATAAAGTATTATTTTATTTTTAAAAAAGTTTTCGGTCTGTTTCCGGTATTTGTTAATGACGATGTGCTGTGAGATGTGAGACTGAAATTGCACAGGGGAAAATAACGTAGGCAATCTTTAGATGCGGATTTTGTTAAACTAATATGTTTGCGCTGTGGACCAACACTATACATTGACGGGGAAGGGGGTAGCAATAAAGATAACACCATTAAACAGTTACACAACATAACAGAAATAATATCGATAGCAGCGTCCCTAGCAACCACCTTGGTAACAATGAAAACGTCGCGATTTCCTGAAGTAATCTTCGTAATAACTAGCAAACTAAAGATCATGGACATCCACTGCACACATAATCTGAAATAACAACTCATATTTCTCGCATCAAATGACATCAAAACGAATTTTAATGGCCAAACTAACTTTAAAATTGGCATTTTCCACCGAGAATAAAACGAAGTTCGGCCATGTTGTCTTTTTCTGCAGGGAGAAATTTGAAGATCACGTGACATAGACGCCAGCCATTGGAATGAATAGTGAAAAAAACGGGGTTTGTCAAACAGAGCACATGGTGTAGTCCAAACGATAGCTGGGGATTCTGGGTAGTGTAGTGTCTTCTGCCATCCTTTACTCCGAAAAAATATTTGTTTCTCCGAATCGAAGGGGAAAAATACAAAAGCATTGCACACAATTTAAACCAATCAATGTTGTGTAATTATCAAGGATAATCTGGTGTTTTTTAGTCAATGAGTAGTGCAGATATCACTGTAAAATCAATCGACAGTAAGAGGAATACTTACTTCCGGGTGTACAATTCTCCGTTATCCAATGGGAATGGACGCTCACATTGCCTTTAAGGGCAGCCGACACAAACGAATGCCGTGCTTCCATGAGCGTCAAATCCCGCCGCAGATGGGAATACATTGCAATCAGTTGAAAGCTATTTGCGTCCCTTTATGACGCTGAAGGAGCCTAGGAGCGTCACAACTGGACGCCACGGACACTGACCAAACGTCGCTCCTGGACGCTTAGGGAGTGAGAGTGTGTTGTCAAATCACGTGACATATGACGTCCGAAGCAGCAACTGCTTCAAATCACGTGACATGTGACGTCCGAAGCAGCAACTGCTTCATTTCCTGAATGAATCAACTCTCGATTCTGACAGGTGACAGGTTGAAACAGTTTCGAATTTGAGCGCTTCAACACTTTATCACCGCTCTAAACAATGCGCAATGTGTGCGTTGTTGCTGTTGAGTTGTTGTTGGTATTGCATTTGAATTGGATCGTTATAGAGCAAGCCAGGAAGAAAGATAGGTCGTTCTGGCTCGGGAAACACTTCGAAATGTGGAGAAGTTGTGAACAAAAAGACAATTATCAGTAATATAAAAACAGTTAAATATTTTAAGGAATAGATAGCCCAGTGGGTACAGCCGGAGGCCCGAATGCGGCGATGTCCTCCGCGCAGCTGGTTCAAAGCCTGGAATGGATGTATTTTAATCATTGCTTTTCAACTTTAATAACTGATAAAAGGCCCTCTCCTCCCAAAAAAATGTCCAGCACTCTCTAGTCTCTTCTCAATAACCCAATACACACAATTATCAATCTTTAATTGCAAATAGAACATGATATTCAGTCTTAGTGTGTGTGCATCGAATATTTTTCAAGGCAAAGATACGTTAAACCCACTGCAGCCTTGCACTTCGCCAGGAGAGGTCGCTGTAACTGAAGCTTCGAGAAATTAACCTATTTCCGACACAATTGTCCAAGTGGTTCGATGCTTCATTCAAAGCTTCATTTTGCCATCACTACATTAAACTAGTGTCCCATATCCAGGAGCACATCTCTTAATGATCTACAGAACACAGGTTGTACGCATGCAGCCAGAGGAGGAAAATGTGGCAATCACTGACACTGCAGTCTTCCTCCGGTCCTATATGGAGGCCCTGATTGGGAATTAGGAGCACCTGGGAAGAGGCTGCACCTGGGGACAATCAGGCTGCACCTAGGGAATCAGAAGGAGAGAGAGAAAGACACACACACACACACAAACACTACGGCACGTAACAGTCGCTTTGGATAAAAGCGTCTAACAAGTAACATGTAATGTAATGTAATTAGTAGCCTGGTTGTCTCTGCATGTAATTAAACATGATTATTAGAATTACGTATCTTAGCACAAAATAATCATTAAAGGACTTTACAGACAAAACCAGGAATCCTCTTTTTATTTCCCCCCATGTGTTTTGATAAATAAATAAAACCTCTAAAATGAGCTGGATGAATTTGAAGCTGAGGTGGAACCACAAAGCATCTTCATGGTGATAAAGATGTTATAGCACCACAGCATGATTGATTGTTCCTCCTGACAGGCGCGTCACACCCAGTGTTCATTTCCCTTTCCCAGTGAGAGATATTATTTTAGGTTGAAAAAAGCAATGCAACATGAAACATAATCAACCTATAAAAGTGAGCCCTGCTGTAATGTATTTTACTGTTGCTTTGTATTGCAACACGTCAGTGATACAGTATCATATAGTACTCCCTCTCTGCTGATGTAGGCGTCTTTGTTGTTGGTTGGTGCACCTTGTGGCCTGTGTTAGCACCATAGACTGTATGGTTAGCACCTTTACAGTGAATGTAGAGTATCAGCACCATCCAGTGGCACAGAGTGTGTTTCAGTATAGGAGCCAGGAGCATCTCAGCCTCTTGCCACAGAGCCTGTGTGAACAAGTGGAGCAGCGACTCCAGCTGGTGGTCACTGACTGTACACACTGCTCCTCATTCAGACCCTTCCCCAACTGTGGGTTACAGTAGTTCCCAACCTTTTTTGGTTTTAAACTTTGAGACAAAAGATTGATTTCACCTTCTCAGATGAATTCAATAGAATAATGTAAAGGCAAGAAGAATGTGTATGTTTCCCTGGTCGAAATCAAATATTTGGAAGTTTAAAAAATAACAGCTTTTTGTTTTACTATATCATGTTTTTCATCTTCATACCGATTTACAGTAATACATGAAATAATCTTGTGTGTACATTATGGCTACCACACTGATGGTAGCCATACAGTACCATATTATGATTATTACAGTACCATATTGTCCTCATCTTTATCTTGTTTATATACGTTTATGTTTATTTTATTTTTTTAACAATATCCCAAAAATATCCAGAACAATTATTTAAGATTTAAAGATTAAAGATTTTTTAAAAAGTACTTCAATTTTCCAAAATAGCACAAAAAGTACCTTGTTTTCATGTTTTACTGAATAACAATTATGTGTGGCCCTTTCATTTTAAGCAACATTTGAATTTCTGCAGCAGATCAAATGGAACCTACTGTAATTTAATCTTCTTTGAAAAGGTGCAACAAATAATCGTAGACATAGGAAACTATTTATTTCATTTCATTTCAAACCTTTATTTACCCAGGTGTATCCCATTGAGATCATTGATCTCTTTTTCAAGGGAGACCTGCTAAAACCTTCATGTTTTGCATGTTATCTTAAATGTGAGATAAGAACTAAATGTCTACGGCGTCTTATAAAAGGGTGTTCATGAAATAGAAAATACTATAATGATGCCTTTAAATACCTCAACTGTAACTCGTGACAAATAATCTATGAAAAAATCTTTATGAGAGAAAACAAGTGTATTTCTCCTTTTTCAAATATATGATATAACATATGAACCTGTCTCTTTACTGCACAGCCTCTAGGAGAGAGATGCAGAAGGACATGGAGGCTGCACCAAAGTCCTCTCCTAAAAGATTTGCTGTGGTTTCGCCAAAGCCACAGTCCCCTGGTGAGTCTTACAATAATTAATGTTAATGTGAATACAAATTGTATGCTCATCCAGTATGTATCTGATATGGTATGTTTAGTTTAGTGCTACATCGGGAGTAAAGCAGCAGTCGCAATAATGCAGCACCATCAGTTGCTACTGTACCTTTAAATTGTACAGTCTCTCTCTCTCTCTCTCTCTCTCTCTCTCTCTCTCTCTCTCTCTCTCTCTCTCTCTCTCTCTCTCTCTCTCTCTCTCTCTCTCTCTCTCTCTCTCTCTCTCTCTCAATGCTCAATACAAGACCCATGGCAGCCTGCTGTTGTCATAGCAACAAGCTTCAGGAGCAGTAATGCTGGGATGGCTCTTTCAGTAGAAAACCCTGCTGGGTCAGATTACCACAACAAGTCAGCATTTGTCCTTTTCCCAGAGAGCACATAGACAGATTATCAGCTGGGTAGAGTTACAGTTCAATTTCTCTACTGCTCACATGATGCACTCGTGTTTTCTCACTATGATTGTTAAGATATGAGGAGGAAATGGCAGCTCATTGATGAGCAGTGAGATGACTTGAGTAACAGAAAGACCATTTTCCACCAGGTGGGAGGATATAAACCACTGTGGCTCCAACCAATCAGCGCTTTATTGCTACAGCTACGAGAGTATACCAACTGCTAATAGTATCTGCAGTATAAATCTGCTTTTTAGTATTGCTATTGGATATTGATCAATGTTAATGTTGTTTTTGTCTATTAATTATTTACTAAAGGTAACAAAATAAGAGGTGGAGTATTAGTCAAAACAAAACACAATATTTCAATTGAATGTGATATAAAACTGAGACAATAACACAACACTCTGAATGAAACTAGCTAATAATTGGCCTTTACATGACTTACTTGGTTATTATGTCTGTATTTCATTAAGTTTGTTATGAGTGAAAATATGTCATCATATTGTTTTTGTCCTCCTGCTCTTTGTTTCTTTAGTTCAGGGGCGGACGGCAGCAGTTCACGGCGCTGTTCAGACTGATCGGGCCCAGGAGATGGACCGGGTTCTGATCCAGCAGCTGAGGGAGCGCTGTGAGCAGCAGGACCTGCAGGTTCAGAGCCTTCAGGCCCAGCTAAAGAAAGCCTCTCTGTGTCTGGACGTTTTCAGCATCACTACCCAGCATTTCTGTATCAAGGTAGGCTACAGCAGAGCTCTGTGACCTCCACCAGGTTGACCTGCAAGCAATATTGGTCTTGCCATCACTTTGAAAGCCCCATTAAATGTTTTAAAGTCCAAATCTGAATGAATCCTACATTAAAAACAGCCAGTCCCCTTCCTTCTTAGCTCTGTTTAAGGAAGCTATGATGAAGTCATTCATTCACAGGGCTATAAGATATTAATCAGGCTTTCATTTCTGAAAAATTAACTCATTAATGTCATGAATTTGATCAATTCCAAGATTAGAAAGTTGGAGATTCAGAAAGGATGCATTTTGAGAGATTTCAAGTTATTTAATATCAATTATTTTGTAATTAGCCGAGGTCAAAACAGGCCTTGTTTGCATTGACATTTTGTGGAACAAAAGCATAACTTGATAAGTTGAATTTGACATGCATCATGATGGATGGATGGATGGCTGGTTGGTTACTCGTTGGTTTTCATGCCACGAGGAATAACAGTAATAGGGGTTCACTGAAGTGAAGCTTCTAGAATAAAGAATAAAGGAATGTCTTATTTACAGAGGGTAGAGAAATGTCATGCAGTGTCATGCAGAATCCTGTATTTATATTTTATCTTTTGTCCATATCAAAAATGTGCATGCTAGTTAATCCTGCTGTTGTAGACATGTTCCGGGCTAATACACGCGGAAGGGAAAGCTGTTGCAAGCGTCAGAATGCAACTACAAAGCACTACGCACCAAGTACACCTGAAGCATCTAGCTTTTGATGTCAGCTTTACTTTGTTCACATAGCCTGTCACTTTGAATACGTTGGGAATACCTACAAAGCAGAAGGATGTGTCAGTAAAATGTGTGAGGAAGATGAGGGGAAATACAAATGGTGTTTTCCATTTAATTCAAAGGGAAATTATGTTTGATGTACAATGGCTTCTCATATCTTCATTGAGTAAATTAGAATGTATTCAATAGAGCTGGCTGGCCTTTCATGTCAGGTCTGTCCTAAAACTGCTGAATTGTCTAGTGAATGGGATACAAACACATTTGTTATCCATTTTAAATATCTGAATTGGTACGTCTCAAGTGTATTTTGCTGTTGTATAAGATGATCTCTGTTGTTGGTGTGTGTTGTGCATCTAGAGTATGGATGAAGCTCTTGTTTATTGCCCTTTCCTGGTCCTCTGCCTCCATTTCCCAGCACCACCCACGGGTTCTGCTCTACAGTAGGAGATGATATATGAGATTAGAGCTACCAGCCTGTGCCTCGCGGTGCTATGACTGAGAGTGATTGTCTAATGGAAAGAGTACTCTAAGGTCGGAGGGGGAAGACAGCTAGGCTCCCCTTTAAAATGTTCTTTTAATTGGATTTTGAATCCCTTATAATGATTAAAGGGCAGTGTAGATGCCGGTCTTTTATATGTATTGACCTTAAATACTGTCCAATGTCTTCCAATGTATTCAATGTCTTCCTGTAGCCTCTCCTCCAGCACCACTGTTTATCAGTACTGGTTGACTCTGTTCAGGATTTTTAGAGCAGTGATAACATATTGATGAGGCTTTAGAAGGTTCAGTGTGTAAGAGAAATAGAATACCAAAGAAATAGCTTTATACTCTATAGTATCAAATACATCAAATACCTCAATATCCTTTGCTTTCACAAAATACTAACACAAAACCATTTTCATTGTATTTATGTGGATGAAATGACTAAGTGGTTAAAAGCAAATGATATAACAGCTAGGACAGTATGTACAGTTCATTGTATTACATCACTTTACTGTAATGCAGCTTTTCAGAGACACTGATATCCGAAATGTAAGACAACATTCAAGGTGGGGTCAGTGGGGTATTTAATTTTGGAGAAACCAGCTCGAGTGTGCTAGAATTTGAAAATACACAACCGGAAAAAATCTGCTACTTCCTTACCGAGCCCCTCCTCCAAAACACACGAACGCGCACATGACCAATGAGGGCACGAGATAAGTTTGTGCACAGATGGAAGGCTGACAGGCAGGTAGGCCATCCAGTTATTTTAGCCGGGCCGGATAAAATGATTGGTCGTGCTTTTTACAGTACTACGGCTTCCACAGATTAAATTGTTTTATGTATTATATCAAAGCATTTAATATGTTCATTGCTATCGGGATGTTAAGAGCATTCCATGGAATATAACAAAAAGTGTTTCTGAAATAAATTACATACCCCACCTTTAAGTCTCATATCACACTATCATTATAGTATTGATATGTTGCTAATACATGGGAACTGTTCTTGTTGCAACAAAAACATTTCATCCAAAGCTACACTTTGCTTCAGTCCGTACTTTGATATTCATTAAGCCAAGGACATGTTTTCTGTATGTATCCAAATGTCTGTGTGTAGCTGTGTTCTCCAATCTGAGTAACAGTGCAGATAATTGGTCACTTATTGATCATCTCCCTCCCCCTGCTTCTCCGGCTCCACTCTTTTTTGTTTTTTTCTCAAAGATGCAAAAGCCTGTGCATGTGTGTGTGTTGCTCGCTGCCATGAGAGTAAATTTAATTCTGGGCGTGTTGGTGGGGGTTTGAGGGGAGGGCAGGCAGATCTGGGCAGGGCTGGCAGTCTTTGTTCCAGCAGGGATAAACGCTGGTCGCAAACCAGGACACGAGGTGAGGCTTCGGTCTTCCCTTCTCTCCTCCCCTCCCCATCCCTTGCCTGGTTACCTCCCCTTATGTCTCTCTTTCTGTATCTTTCTGGCACTCACATCTGCCACTGCTGCCTCCTCCTCACTGGGCTCAGGGATGCTGCTGTCTGCTAGCCTGGAATGGGCCATTGCTGCTGTAGGCTCCCTATCCTCCCTCTGTGCTTCCTGGACCGAACGGTAAAGGCAGTACATCTTCTGCAGGCAGCAGGCTAGTCTCAGCACCGAGGATTCCTTTCTATATTTGCGGTTGTGCGCATGTGTGTTTAGTGAGGGGGGGATCTGAGTGCGTCTGTGTATGTGAGCGTTACATTCAGTTGTTACCTAGAGACAGAGCTGGAGAACAGAGAGTAAAGCTGTGCATGATTATGCTGAGTCAAAGCAGGCTTGTGTGTCACACTGTCCCTCTATCTTTTCCCTCAGAGTTTGAGGCATTACATAACATGTTATTAATGCTCTGCTATAACCTTACACTTGTTTGCTATTTCGCCGTGTACATTGTGTCTTAACTGTATGTGCTGGAGTAGTCTGGGTGATTACATGTTATTGAATGTATAGGAGTGCTCATCCTCTCGATGTCTAAGTGACATGTTTACCTAAAGTTGCTGAATTTATCCTCTACAGGAAATCATCTTTCAGGTTCTCTTTTTAGAATAATGATGTAGTTTCAGCTTCCTGTTTGTTCACTGGAGCGAGCCTGAATTTTGTTAAGTCCAAACAAAAAAGCAAATGCACTTTTGGGATGCTTTTTATGGTTCCACTGAAACTGGATCGATGTATTAATTAACTCATGACAGTATCTCATGGAAAATGAGCACCGTTAGAATAAAAAGCCATGTTTATTGCTGTCCAGAAAGTGACACTCAAATCTCTAGACAATAGACACAAAAAGATAAACATCACTATTGACAAGCCATTTATAATTGGTGATGAATCAAAGAAACATTAGCTAGAACATTAACTAACCTAACAATTGATCGGGAACCACACAAATAATCAACAAGATGATCGATAATGAAACAATAATCTGTTGCAGCCTTGATCATTTATTTAGGTACCTCTTTGAGGGCTGAATATCAGATGGGAACATTTGAATTCATGTCACACAACTCCCTGGAGAACTAAATTGGAGGGGCGTTGCAGACAGAGGGAATGGTGGGTAGGAGCAAAGGTGGAGCTGAGGAGTAATACATGGAAAAAAACCTACTGACCATCCTTCATCCCTCATGAGGTCATGGCATTTTCTCCCTGATGATTGTGTGCTCCAAGTAAAACCTCTTAAAGGATGACATCATTACTGCCGAGATATACTGTGTAGTCTCTCATACATATTTTACCCTCTGCTCTCTGTGTCTCGCCTTTCTTTGTTTCTCGTATGCACTGCTATCTGTCACTGAGCAACAGTGTGCATAACTTAAAAGATCAATAGCCATTTAGTGTATGGTGTGTCTTCCTCTGTGAGTAATAGGTGCTCTGAGGGTCTCACATATTATGAGTGAGGTGCAAATCATGTATAATAGTTTTTTTCAGAGTATAATTTTTCAACAATGTTATAGTTAACAGGCATTTATTGTAAGCACAGGGGAATAGTTTGCATGTTTTGAAGTGGGGTTGTATGAAGTATTTTTTACACAGTCAGTACCAGAAGATTACGATCGGCACGCCCCACAAACCAAAGTACGGTTTCAAAACAGCATACTGCTGTGTACACTAATTATACGCTATATTTAGAATATTTTCATTGCTTTATATTGGTGTTTGGAAGTCATATCTGACAGGGAACAGAAGCCATGATACAAAATAGTAATATTCCTTCAAAGAATACTAAACGTCCACGATCCATCAATCCATTTGTGTGTGTGTGTTATTGTGTGACATTGATTCATCTGAAGTAACGCTTTAAAACACCAAATTCACAGAATAACAAAGAAAATAACCAATTGAGGCAGCAGCAGACCAGCAACCGTGTTCCGGCTGCTAGGCTTTCTTTCTGGTGATTTCCACAATAGTGCATTGCTTCCCTGCTCCTACTGTCTGCTTCTTCTAACATGCCAACTGTCATCTACTGTATTTAATACACTTACTATGGAAAAGTACTTTAAACAACCCCACTTTTAACAATCCTAACTTGCCTTGAATTATGAGACCCTTAACTGTTGTGATCCGTTGTGAACTAGATGATACACTGATGTCAAATTGTGGTGTTTCAGAGAAAGTCATTTGTATGCAGGTCTCATTATACACATAAATAATACAAACCATGTTGCTGTCATTACTCATGGGTCTTGCTCAATTATGATTTGCGAGCACCAGGCAGCACAACATTGTTAATTATCTAAATCTTATCAAAAGTACAGTAGACCGGAGTTGTATACCTTTAGTCCTGTTTAATGCACATGTTCCTGCTTACATATTGGGTTCCAAATACCGTATCTCAGACTCTCTCTTTTCTTCATGCTGGATTATTTAAAGTGTAGCACAGTGGCTCTGTGTCCAGCAGTGTTCCTTTCGACAAAATACTACACACCTCTCAGTATATTGGAATACAATTAACTAGTACCACAAACCTGGTAACTAATTATAATCAACCAAAACATTTTTGTTAATTATGTTACATACATTTTAAGCTGTCAGGCTTACAGTGTAACTGTAGGTGTTCGTACATTTATTCATACAGTTCTGAGATGTTCAATACTTTATGTGTTTCAGAGTGAGAGTGCCGTTGTGAAGGAGAGGGAACTGTCCCTGGAGCTCGCCAGAATCCGGGATGAAGTGGGTAAGTGGGATACAGCAATGACTCACTCACTGCTCTCTGCATGGCGTGTTATACAATATACTAACACAGGGAAGGGAGGAATTAGCTCTGCTCATGGAAGGCTAACCCATAACTCCATAAAACAGACACTGTGAAATATAGCCCTGTTATCATTGCTTCATATCAAACGTTAAACAAACTCTGAATGCTACAGGATTTCAATTGAATTATTTTACCAACATTTTTCAAAAATGGGCAAACAGAGAAAACATTTGGAGGAATAGCACAAAATGAATAAATTACACATTTTACAACTCTAATCTATTTTATATTCTTGTCACTTGTGATCTGAACTTGGATCTGGTGAAACGAACTGAAGCTCTATGTTGTTTTCCAGCTTTCAGTGTTGCACACTGGGAGCAACTGCAGCAGGAGAAGGAGAAACTGGAGCGCCGCTTCAAATCTGAGCTGCAGGGATTGCGGGCTCAGCAGCAGAAGGAGCTGGGAGTGCTGGAGGAGCGGCTGAAGGCGCAGCACCAGGCCGAGGCCCAGAGCCTGCAGGCCAATCAGAGGGCCGAGCTCCAGGAGCTGCGGAAAAAACAGCGAGAGCAGGTGTGTGTGCTTAGATAAAGACTGGATATCAGATGGACACTTGTGTCTAAATGTGATGTGAAAACCTAATCTCCAAAATAAGATAATTCCTCATGTGCCTACTCTAGATTGAGGAGATGAGTGAAGATCACGAGGCTTCCTTGATGGAGATGGAGACGGCTCACGACGACACTCTTGCCACTTTGCAGGAGGAGCATGCCAGGACTGTGAAGAGTAAGTGCCACGTTTTAACCCTGTTGATCTCCTCTACTGAATCACACTGCTGAATGAAATAATATCATACTTTTTACTTAACTCAGATCTGAAGATGGCCCATGAACAGCAGACCAAATCTCTAGAAGAAGACTTTCACAAGATCAGACTGTCACTGCAGGTAAACAGTCCTCCCTAAAAAAAACGTTTGGGAAAATACATAATTTATAGTAACTAACCTTTTCATTTGTGTGTGGTCACCAGGATCAGGTGGACACGCTGACGTTTCAGAATCGCAGCCTGAGAGATCGAGCTAAGCGCTTTGAAGAAGCTCTACGCAAGAGCACCGATGAGCAGATATTGGTAACCGCTGCATGAAACAGTACAGGGCCATGTGCTGACTGCTTTGAGCACATTTGCTGAATAAGAGCTGCTGGTGTTGTGAAGTGGTTTTTAAGACTGGTATTGGTTTTTTGACTCATGTTGTCTGCTGTTGTCAGGATGCGTTGGCCCCGTATAAACACATTGATGAGGACCTGAAGAGTCTGAAAGAAGTGCTGGAGATGAAGAATCAACAAATCCATCAACAGGAACAAAAGATCTCAGAATTGGAGAAAATAGTAGGCTTCAAATTTGATGTCTAGCTTCTGTTTGATTTAGCTGCAGTTATGAATAACACATCAAATGTTGTTTAAGATAAAGATATCAAATGACGGAAAACATCTTCATGACATACTCTGCTATGACTTTTTTGTATATGACATACTATACTATATATATACCATATACTGTACCATATTTAAAGACATTGAATGGTATACTATACAATGACTTTGTATGACAACATTTTATAATACATTGAATGACATAATATACTTGTAACTTTATTTATGACATACTACACTATGACATTGTATGGCCTACTATACAATATAATGATATTATTATATATATAATATAATAATATAATATAATGTTGTGCTAATATAGGCTGTTAGTCTACTATAAACCCAAATATAAATGTCTCTGTCTTGAATTGTCATTTCATCATGTTACACCTGAAATATAATGTCATACCTCATTTAAAGAATTTAATGTGGTGCATCTTTCTCCTGTGTTTTCGAGCAGGCTGAAAAGAATGTGTACCTGGAGGAGAGAGTACAAGTGTTACAGCAGCAGAACGAGGACCTGAAGGAGAGAATTGACAACAACCTGACTGTGTCCAGGTCAGATAAGCATGCCAGTGCACATTTAAAACCAGAGGTGGAAGAAGAACTCAGATTTTGTACTTGAGTAAAGTAGAAGTACCAGAGTGTAGGAATACTCCGTTATAAGTAAAAAGTCCTGCAATCAAAATGTAACTCAAGTAAAAATACAAAAGTATTAACAAAATATACTTAAGGTACCCAAAGTAAAAATACTCATTATGCAGATTGTTCCATTTCAGAATAGTTTATATTTTATCTTTTGATTATAATTATTGATGCATTAATGTGTGTATCAAAGCTGGTAAAGGTCCCGTTTCTTTTACTTTGTATAGTGCAGGGTAGCTTGTGAATTTACTCCAGGTGTAACTAAAGTATTTTTAAAGTGTTGAATATATTTCCCATTATTAATCCAAATCCGAGAAGTAACTAAAGGTACACAATAAATGTAGTGGAGTAAAAGTAAAAGATTTACCTCTGAGTTGTTGTGGAGTAAAAGTACAAAATAGCATAACATGGAAATACTCAAGTAAAGTAAAGGTATCTCAAAATTCTACTTAAGTACAGTACTTGAGTGAATGTACTTAGTTAATTCCCACACATGTTTAAAACTAGTTCTAACCTGTAGAAGTGAATGTAGGTGGACTTAAGATGGCACATTAATACAATATAAAAAGTAGTTACAGAAATCTTTAATTATGCTGCCAAAATTCAGCATCTTGTCATAAAAACTGTTGAACTTCTCCAAATGTTACTTAGAAATATGTATATGTACAATATAGTGCTCAAGGGTTATACAGTCTGTGCACAGAGAGAGAACCTTTTTAGACAAACACAGCAGTGGGAAAAGCTGTTAAAGCTGTGACCTTGCAGTTGGAAAGTTCTGACTCCTGCATTTGAAAGGATTGCATTGCTAGTCATTTGTATTTTGACCTTTTCCTACCGCTTTTCTTCCTCAGGCAACTCTCTGAGGATAATGCTCACCTGCAGGTGAACGTGGAAAAGGAGAGCAACGAGAAGAAACGTCTGAGTCGCAACAACGAGGAGCTGCTGTGGCGTCTTCAGACAGGCGAACTGAGCCCTCACATGTCCCCCAGCGCCTCCCCCCTCCATCGCCCCCTCTCTGGACCAGGCTCTCCGGCCCGCCCTCACTCCTACCATCAATGACACCCTCCAGGGAGGCTATCGTATCAAACGCTTTCTTGTTTCTGGTATCGGAAACCATGATTTTTTAAAACTCTTCCTGAATGTTTAAAGGATTTACCAGTATGTTGATGGACGGACATGATGACACGTGTGGTGCATTTCCAAAGTCAACCCCGAGGATTTTTAGACCTAAAGAATTGTATAAACGATCAGAAGGGAATCCTCTTTCTCTATTCCAAATGACTGAACAGACGTGCTGTGGGACTGCAGGGGATTTTAGTCATTCTAGACTTCAGAGAGCAGGATCAAAGTACCCCCCCCCCCCATCTACATCACCACCTTCTCATCCAGCGCTCAGGATGATGGATGTACAAGGCATTTCCAACATCACAAGTGCAAGGACAAACACAAGAAGCGCCTTCTCCGTCCATTCTCTCCCACCAGCAACTTCTATCTAGGCACAGGCAATACTTTGAGTAAAATCACAGAACTACCTGGTTACTCTTAAAGTGTGGATTCTTCTCTGGGGTATGTTAACATTTTCATTCTGAAATATTTCATATATCAGGAGTGTATGAATGACTACCAATCCTACCTTATCTCTCTCTCCTAGAAACTAGATATCAGTGATGACCCTGAAATGTATGACTACAACTCATAAATCCATTGAACTGCCAACTATACTATTGACTATAAGTTTGTAGAAGTGTGTAAATGTATTGCTCTCTCTAAAGCATGTTCTGTCTTCCAGTTATGCATTTTATTTTAAGGTTACCATGTGTGACAATATGGCAGGAAGTGTGTAGACGGCAACACAAGTAACCTCTTATTCTTAATAAAACTCACCAGGATGTATTCAAATGAAGACAGAAAATAACATATAAAATATCATGGTGTTATACACATTTTTTTGAATGTGAGATTGGCTTCAGTTAGGTTAAGAAAAGAAAATGATTTCCCACACAAGTGCAGGATCTGCAGATACCACCAAAGAGGAAGCCGTTAAGCACAGCAGTCCACCTTGTATTGTGGTCTATAATTGATGGCTGTCAAAATGTACAGTATTGACCTGAACACATATATCCATATATGTTCATTATGTTGAATTTGTACAGTTCTTTTTATTTCCCTTTTGAATTGTTGCTGTATCTGTTGCTGTACACTTTTTTGCAAACAAATACTGTATAAGGTGAAAATCTAATTTCTCTTTTTGAACCTTCAAAATTGGCAAAAACCCTATTGAGAGGTAAAAACCAACATTTATCTAGGGAGCAAATATATATCTAAAGTAGTTAGAACAATCCTCGAAAACTGCAAGCGGTTACCTCATTTATTATTTTAGATTATAATCTCAGGTATTGTGGAGAATAATTAGTCAGCAAAGGGAAGAAACTGCCATATCTTTTTCTGTTGGTATTAATCCCATTTTTATTTTTGCTCATGTTTACATAATCACCAAGCTCAAATGTCTGTTTTGCAGGAAGTCCATTGAATGATATGATTTGAATGTACAGAATATGTATAAATATGTTATACAAAGTGCAATCAGCAAATATGTACAAATACATTGAAGAAATGTTGCTTTAATACTATAATATACTACAAAAATCAGATCCCCTAGGACCCCAACATGTGGAAATATGATCAAGCAGTGATATGTTTGCAGGTGACTTGTGTTATGTATGAGCAGCAAGGCAGATATAGATTTAATTTGACTGTGTTCTGTGGAGTGGAAATGGCCTTCCATCAGGTTCTCCGATTGCACTGATCGCCTCTGTGTCCCGTGGACATGACCTTTTACTCATTTACTGAATGTTTGTTTGACACTAGATATGAGGTTTTGTTTACAGTTTACATCCAATATCAGAAAAGTTGGTGTTTCACGTGGATGTGGGTACTTCTGTTGATTGTTTACGGTTAAGATTGTATTCAGTATATCAGAAACTGAGGCTCTGGTTTATATGAAAGCATGTCTTTATAAGGTCATTGTTCATAGTTCTTTGTTTTACTTTTCTTGTGCTTTTGTTCTATTTATTTATTTATTTATTTGACCTCCTTCAGAACCGCAACTGTAGCTTAGCTGGTTAAAATATTGTGGTTAGTGATGAGAAATGTATGTCTACACTGTATATGTTGCACTTTGTATTTAAGTATTAAATCACGATAAGAACATAATTTGTTCAAAAATTATTTCCATTGTGGATACATCTTTGATTGCATGACGTTCTTTTCTATATTTTGCCAATCTTAAAGGGAACATTTCAATGGGAAGTAATAACGAAGTGTACAGTATCTGAAAGAGATACCACTAAAGCTTATAACAGTCAAAATAACTAGAGTAGTGATATAAATATTACTTCTTCATGAAGTTCTGCAGCATATCTATGGGCACAGGGAAGATGATGGTGGAGTTCCTCTCCGCTGCGATGGTGTTGAGGGTCTGCAGGTATCGCAGCTGGAGACCAGAGGGTGACTCAGCGATTATCAGGGAGGCTTCTTTCAGAGCCCTGGAAGCATTCATCTCTCCCTCTGCAGAAATGATCTGAAACACAGACAGACAAGATTAGTTCTACAAATGTTTTCTATCAACATCCATCCTATTTCACAGTTAGAGGAAAATTTGAAAATAAATCTTCCGCCTGTTGACCTTGGCCCTGGCCTCCCGACTGGCTTCTGCCTCGGCTGCCATGGCTCTCTGCAGCTGCTGGGGCAGCTTCACATCCTTGATCTCCACTCGCTCCACCTTAATACCCCACGGGTCAGTGGCATCATCCAGAGATCCCTGCAGAGGAATAAAGAATAATAAATACTATAGTGACCCACGTTGCTAAATATTGCTAGCTCCAGAAATTAGTTGTTTAATTATTTTAGTTATGTTTTTTTATCAACTTTTTTTAATAACATACTATTGTACTGATTGTTTGTATTTAATGTATCTGTTATTTCAAAAACCATTTTATGAAATAATATCCTCTGACTTTATGATTTTTTAAAGGCAAATTGTAAATTTTTAAAGGCAAATTGTAACCTTTTTCTGACTTAAGTCAGAAAAAGGTTACAATTTGCCTTTAAAAAATCAGTAAGCAGTTTTTAAATATATATTTTACGACATACTTTATGCCACTGTACATTTTTTGATATCCTAATGATATTTTAAGTATGTTTTATGATTTCATTAATGGCATTTTTTTTAAATACTTGAAATGGCCTACTTTGTCTCTTTTACCTAATATAGGGGCCACCAGAACATAAATGACTATTTTCCATTTCTTTCAACCATTACTTTGATATCTTTTTAGAGTGACTATGTAAAATCCTCACTCCTCACCTGCATACTGAGTGATATGCCCTCTCTGTCAGATAACAGTTCTGCCAGGTTTTTGGTCCCAAGTACATTCCTCAGGGTGGTCTGAGCCAGCAGCCGTGTGGATGAGTGTGCGTTGCTCACATTGGCCACAGAGGAGATGGGGCAGTGTATGCGGAAGTACACCACACCGTCCACGGACACTGTCACTGAGTCTCTGGTGAGGATCTGAGAGGTGCAAAGCTGCAGTTATGATGCGGCTACTAAGTTGATCACACAGGAAGATGGTCGTCAGATTTCATTAATGATGGAGAGGAGCTGTGATACAGGAGAGACACAACTGATATTCTCACATTTGGTCATGAGTGGAACAAAACAACGTACCTCTTGTGGGGGGATGTCAAAAGACACTGTTCTCAGATCAACCTTCACAAAAGTATCAGTGCAGGGTAGAACAAAGAACAGACCTGGAAGGAAATAAAGACCATGCTCAGTTTGAAAGGTTGTAGATAAAGTATATTAGATCATAGCAAGGTAATTACTTTTTAAGAATGTTTTAAGAACATTTTGCCCATATTGTGTATTCATGTAGTGACAAACCTGGCCCTTTAGGTTTCCTGTCTGTGATCCGTCCGAGTCGGAAAATGACGGCTCGCTCGTACTCCTTCACTATCTGTATGTTAGAAACACAGCCATCCATATAGAGAACATAACAAAGGGAAAAACCATTGGCGTAAACTTCGTAAAGGTAGAATTGATATCTTATCAAATCATGATTTCTCCCGAGCTACAGTAACACATACCATCTTCACATTTTATTCATTTTTTTTTTTTTAAATATGCTGTTGGTCAGTCACCCTGTCTTAGCTAGTATATGTATTTAGGTGCCCTCAGTGTCTGTGGTATACAACAATGGAGGAGGGATATTCTGAAATTACACATTTACTAGAGTTGTGTCAACAACTAAGCATTAGCTTTAGGATTTCTGACCTTCCAACATTTTTTACACAACTGACATTTTCTAAACTAGTGTACATTACTGATAATATGCTGTACCTTAACACACATGAACAATGTGATTGGGAAGGTTGCTGTAACAAAGAGGAGGGATATGAGGACCAACAGCCAGCCGAAACATCCCAAACCTCCTGAGTTTTTATCTGTACAGAGAGAAAAAAGTAGGAGAGGAAAAGTGTTTTGCATAGTTGTCATGGCACCTTGGTTCCTCGTGTATTGTTGTAATTTCCACCCTTCTCATTTTTCACTAACAATGTAATTAATATCTGAGGGGAAGTCATGTTACTTCTCATCTAGCGGAGTGACAGGGATAAGCTGCTGAACTATTGATGTACCATCCTGATAATCACACTGTGGTGTAGTTGTCTCATTTAGTTACAGACGGGATATTACAGGAAGCATTCAAAGTCTGAGGGTAGATTTTTATCAGTATAGGGCTGGAACAAACACTCATTTTATAATCTATAGTATCATGATTATATTGTTCTTGATAAATAATTTATTAATTTAAAAGAAAAAAACAGTAGATGCGAAAAAAATTCAATTGCATTCAACATCAACATTTTGCAAATTTGTGCAAAAAGACAAAATATAGAAACACCAATACACGCAAAGACTTGGAATAAGAATGGGAAATGGAATTTAACTTAATTAAACGCTTTATAAACAATTGAAGTTAGTTTTGTGCCAAATAATTGTGTCATCTCTGATTATCTGATAAACAGTGACATCCCTCCTTGATCCCTATACAGCACAATATGCTATCCCTGGCATTTTAATCCTCATTTAATGACAGTCACAGACTCATTTTTTGATGGATCATAAAAAGTATTTACCTTCCACATTCTCCACAGCAATCTGAAGTTTACCCTGTGTAACCATCTCCGCTGTGCTGGATGTTGTTGAGGTCATTAGTGAGTTTGTTGTCGGAGTGATGGATCAAGTGAAACAGCGCAGCGCCTGTTTACCTGTTTGTTCTCCCTGCTGGGTGTGGCTTGGCCTCATCATCTGACACATACGTAAACTCATACCCCCTACTTGGTGTGTGACTCTTGGACTCACCTTGTAGTGCCAACTGGTAACATGAACCACAGAGCCAAACCAGTCTATGGCTCCTGTGTTTGAAAGTTCAAAGTTTAGCTCCTGTGCTCTTCCATTATACTCTAACCTTCACGCCCAGTCTGAGTCGGACACCTGTTGAGTGCGGCTTATGAATAAACAATAAGTGGCATCGAAGTCGTGAAACATGAGCGCATGTACAGGCACAAGGAGATGTGATCATGCTCTCCTACTTTCTCATGGTTTTGTTGTTTATTTATGTTTTGTAGTTTTAAAGGTCTCCTATCGTGCTATTTTTAGGCATATATTATGGTTCTCAGATATATATACAAATATATTAAAAAACATGTCTATGATGTGTTTTGCTCATAATACCAAACAGATCATGCATTTTAGACATCCCTCATATCCCTGTATTTCAGCCCTGTTAGAGAAACGCTGATTTTGGGTCCTTAGCTTTAAAGAAAAGGGGAGCTTGTGCCTGCTCAGAATTTTACGAGATACAGCTAAATGCTGCCGTGATTAAACGCCATATCCAAACCACATTATTTCTGAAACAGTATGGAGCTCAAATGCTTTCTCTCTTGCAGGTTTACCACAAGGTGAATTCCTTTTTTATTTCCTGCTTTTTATAGATACTCTCTCCAGTACAGGTTAGCTCTGAGTGTTAGCAATGCTTGCTAATGTAAACAAAGACCATATTACGTCCAAAAAAAACGTTGGGCATTGTTTCTGATAGCTTAGTTTCTGATAGTGTCGTGGGACCACATTTCCGATATTACGTCATATCGGACGCAAATCTATATCAGCTCCGTTGTACCCCCCTTTGTTAGAGATTTGGGGACACATATTTATGTATAAAAGACATCAAAAAGTGCATTTTTCATGATAGGATTAGGTCCCCTTTAAGGTTTAAATAATGTAGTTTATGTTTTGTTAAGTTTCCTTTTCGTGGTGTAAGTATAAGTTTAAGTATTGTTATTTAAGGTGAAGGATATTACTGTATGACATTATTCTTAAGATGTCACATATTTGATTAATTATTTTGTTTTTAATCAGTAACGGCAGCCTCAGTCCAAAAGTCTTTATTCCAGTTTCAGCCTTCAACAGCGACCACATCCACCAGCAGCCTCCAGACGGTGTCCAGGCTGCAGGGATGACCAGGTGACACATTACATTTTTCTAATTGTTCTCAATGCACTCCTTAAGATCCTTTTATTTTTGACAAAGCAATCCTCTGCAGAGTATCTGATGTAAATGCTCCTCTTTTGAGATTATAAAAGTATGTTAATGATGTTTACTGGAACCTGACTTTTTCTCATGTGTTGCTGTCCTTCTCCAGGTGCCAACTTTAACCCAAAAGCGCTGACGCCCTGCTGCTGTTGCTGCTGCAGAGCTTCCCCAGAAAGGGAAGCAGAACTCTGGAGCCCCTCCTTCCATAATGTCTATATTTAAATAAAGGATGTTAAACAGCCAGACAAAATAACTTATTTCTCTGATGTAAAGCTGTACTGTACTAATGGATTTTGAGTTGTGGAGACATAACAACTGACATGTGAGCTGCTGGTTACCATCATTTCTCAGTGAGGTGTCTTTAAAGGACCACCACATGATACTTCATCACATGACAGTTGCACACTGCAGTAGGCTTCATGATGAGTCCATGTGAATCTGGTTCAGTTGTTCACCACAATAGACAACAGGCTCACTTTGACCTCTTGTAAAATGTATGGAAGTGTATGGGTTTGGTGCAATCTTGATCAATTTGTGAGTTTTAGGAATTGTAAATGGGAAAAAATAACAAAAGCTGAATAAAGACTATGTTAGAGCTCTGAAGCCAAATGTGTTATACTGTAGATTTCACCATCATTTCTTAGCAGCTGCATTTATTTCCAGAAAGAATATCACTTACTCCTATTTTTCATAGTTTTACTGTTACGAAACTTCATGTCAGACCACTGCCTCGTTCAAGAGCATTTTGTCTTTATTCCAAATTCTAAAATACAACTTAATATAATTTACAATTAATGTAACAAAGGTATGGTTTTGAACAGATATTTGACATGCATGCATGTTTTTTCCTGTTGCTAGAGGTCTCCATGTTAGTGCAAACAGTACCCTCTTGTGGTGAGGAAGTCTTTTTAACAGAAGGTTAAAACAAGAAGAAATGCTAAAGAGGTTGTGTGGTTGCACATGCTTTCATAATCTGGTTGTTAGTCAGATTTGTATTGCATCTCGTTTTTTTGCTCGTTTAGTATTGAATTCCAACTCAACATTAGGTGAAAAATAATGAGCTTTTAGTCAGGTTAACAGAGTTATTCTAGAGTAAATGTAATCATTAATATGGCCAAGCAGAACAGCTGAACTGCTTGAACTGCCTTCAGGTCATCATGTGTGGTGATGTATAAACCAGGCCTCACTGAAACATATTCACAGGGAAAGTACTACATTAATACTTGTGGATATACTGATTAAAGCTTTATTTTTTTAAATCACTGTGGCCAGCACTGCACAAAATGTGTTTATCATATTCAAATACATCCATTCCAAAAGTATTTTCAGTATTTTTAAGTGACATTTAATCAAATATTAAGACACAATCTAAGTCATTTCATTTAAAAAAAATACATAAGGACGAGAGAGTGTTTGAGCACAATACTTTCTGTGTGTGGAGACACATCAGTAACCAGCCGTATCCATCATAAACTTGCGACTGAGCTCGTAAGCCAGGAAGAGGGCTCCGTTGGCAGGGAAGGTGCGTATCATGGTGGGAGTCAGGCCTGAGTACAGAGCAGTGAAGCCTGTGGGACAGGAGAGAGAGAAGCAGCCACACGGGTCATTCCCCGCTGAGGAGTCAGGCCCCCAGCTCGGGCCAATTAGAAACAAGATTCATCTACAGTGTGTCAGTTATACCAGCAGTTGTGCATTCAGAGCCTTTCTCTTCAGCGCTCCTTTTAACACACTCAGGGCTAGTTTTATAGTTTTTGCTTACAAAAAGAGGCTTGAAGTGTAAAAGTTTGCCACTATTTAACTCTCCTGTTGTGTTCGTTTCACTACCCTTCCTCTGGGGGTGACCGGTCCAATTTGACCGGTCCGTTTCAACTGCTCTTAGATTAACAAAAAAAATAAAATAACCATCCCTACATTTTATTTAACAACCTTTAAAGCTGTGAATAATGTCTCCGACTACTGGTTTACACGAACAACTGCAGTGAAAATACATAGAATAGACACTGAAAATGTATTCCAAAATGAACATGGTTGTCGATTTGTGGGTGTGTACCATCTGATTGATGAACATAATTTAGGGTTACCCATTCATTCCCTATGGCTGTCATTTCTGACACAATAGGATTAAGAAAGTTGATTTAACCACTCAAAATTCTGTGAAAGTGGTGATCAGCAATTGTGCATGTCCAATGGCCTAATGTGGAGGACATCATAAGGCCTTTAATCGATTAAATGTAAAACACAATATTTGTATGATTGATGAGAGTAGTAAAACGGTCAGATTTGACCTGAACAATATTGCAAAAACCCACTTAGAAATTGTGACATTTGATTGAAGTGCCCTCCCTAAGCTCCATCCATGTGATTGGTAAGGGTAGTTTCATTTGTGACATGTCAATAATCATGACAGTGTCAAGCTTTGGCCTTTTTAATGTATTGTCTTCTAAATGTACTAAATCAATTATTAGACGTGTTTCATACACTCTGACGCCAAGTTTTCCTCCACATCATGGCAACAGATGGTGCAGATGGTAGTGCATGTGGTTGTGACTAAGTGCATTAAGCATGTACACTTCCTTCATAAATCTTACCTTTTTATTGCTTCCTTGTTTTTCACTTTTTTACAGCTTTAATGTTGTTATCTTCTTATGCTGGACAACCTTTATTTTATACATACTAATATTCATGTATTACGACTTGTTATGCAATGGTGTCTTCATTTTTGTTTTGTGTCAATTGGATGATTTGAATATTTCCGGATAGCTTTTTTCTTATTATGTACATCTACTTGCAACATGAGACAGTACAGCCATGAACAGATACTGCGTAAATAATTTGTAATACTTTCAGATGCCGGTCACTCCGTCGTTTCTCTCAAAAATGCCAACCTAAAACAACTCCCTGAAAGGTTTATTCTATCAGTATAGAAAATAAAGTGCATATTGGAAATGTAAAACCACAAGTCTCACTGTGTTTAAAGAACATTGTTTTTCCCAGATGTACTGTATAAGAGAATGAAACAGCATTAAAACAAAAGTTCGATAATCCTTTTTTTGTCCTCTTAAGGGCAGAATTATGTATCTGAAGAGGTTGTTTCTGATTTGAATGTCTAAACTGGTTATGAACCGAATGAGAGAAGAGTCTAGAGGCTGTTTTGTGTTTGAGTCAATACTTTTCTCTACAGAACCGGTAGTTCACAAAAAGCCAAATGATACAGTTGATTTATTTTGCACACTGATTATAATGATGTAAAACAGTCAGCTTTGCAACCTATTTTTAAGAAGACAACAGATCAATGGGAGAATTTAATAACTTTTCAGCCATTCAGAATCATACCCAACTTGAAGGATTTCTATTTGAGTATGTACGTTCAAAACTTACTCTCAGTTCGTATAACACCCATGAAGGTCTTCATGAAGCCCTCTTGCCTCCCAGCTAAAGAGTAAACCTGGATCCTGGTCTTCACACAGTCAATGGGATAAACCGTCAACCAGAGACAAGCTCCTCCAAATCCACCGCTGAACATGAGGGGAAGAATACCTGCAAAGACCAATGTTATTTTCGTGGGGGCAGAGCACAAAAACAAAAGGACATGCAGCAATAATGAAACAACTCATGAAAGATGAATGACCAATAATTATCATACCTATGCTATCTTTGTCCGTGCCCTTATACTGCGCAAATTTAGTCCGACACATTTCATAGGCCCCAAAGAAGCAGAAGTAACCTGGTATCTCCCTCACTAAGGTGGATGTGAGTCCTTGGTAGAAACCCAAGGGGCCATCAGTCTTCAACACAGTCTTCACTACTGTCCACACAGTGCTGAAGTCACACCAAAAAAAACACTCAACAGGGTATTGGCTTCAAATATATGTTGTGCTCTCTACAATATGTCATTTTTTTCACACCAACCTTTTCTGGCCGATTGCTATCTTGCCAGATGCCTCCATTTCGTGCATGGCCTGCAGGCGACATTTCACCAGCTCACTGGGGCAAAGTGCCATGGAGGAAAAGATGGAGGATAAAGACCCTGCGCATGCCTTCTGAATATCACTGTGAAAATAAATAAAATAAGACTAATAAACAATCAACCTTGGTCTTCAGGATAAATCAGGTCCTTTTAAGATCAAATCATCTGTTCATACACAGTATGTTTTTGCACAACGTGCATTAAATGGAGAAGGGCCTTAGGAATGTACCTAAGATAATTTTCTAAGAGGGTTACATTTACTTGTCGAAGAAAAGTGTCCAGCACACAAAGTAAACCTGTTATTAAATATCAAGGGATTGGCTACTGGGTACATGCCTGATATGACTTTCCAACAAAGTTTCTGAGAGTAATATTGTTGTATCCAGTTACAATGAGCACTGAATTCCTTGTCATATTATACTATCTTTTCTCATGCTGCTCACAGTTTGACATGGAGAGTCGCAGCAATCAAGAATATTAAAGTGGTTTGGTTAACAGAATAAAGAACAATGTATTGGTTTAAAGGTTAATTGTTAACATTTATGTTTGTACATAAAGTACCACTGTTATGAAGTTATTTTTTAGTGTGCAACCAAGGATTATCTTTTTAGAGATTATCTCTCAGTTAATTTTCAATAGTACAAGGTGACATGCAGGGTGTAGCTGGAGGGACCACTGAATTATAGAGGAGTTGGAAATTCAAAATATTGCTCACCACAGAGAGCGGTGAACACAAACAAATAGACAGAAATGTCAGTGTCAAACCTGAGATGGGCCTCTTTCTCCATACTGGACACAAATCGGATCACATCCTGGCAGAGACCATAACTGAGGAAGAGCACAGCGTTCTCACTGATGTTGGCTATAAGGGCTGGGGATGTTCCTTTGTAGAGACCACGTAAGCCCACCTGTCTGAAAGTGGATGTGAAGCAGTGGATGAAGCCGCGGTACAGGGTGGGGAAGGTCTGCATCTTCACCTTTGCTGTGTCAAAGGGCTGCCCGCTCAGCACGCAAGCTGTACCCCCTGGGGAACACATTATGTAATCAGAGAGAAGACATGACTCATCAGAGCAGGGTGTTGTAGCATTTTGAACACTTTGTTATTGTCATGCATCGTAGTGTCGAAGCACACAGACCCACCAAGGGTAAAATGCACCTTCAGAAATGTAACTACCATACCATCACTACTCTACTATAAATAATAATTGTATTACCATGGATCACAGTTAAATGATGATGTCAAATAAATGAAAGGATACAATTATTTGAAAAACACACACACACACACACACACACACACACACACACACACACACACACACAGCATGTTTGATTATGCAGAAGATACATTACCCATTGCTCCAGCTGAGAAGTCGATGATGGCCTGGATTATAGGATGTGGAGCCATGATCATTTATATGATTCTGTAAAACTGAAAATTGAATCTATTTATCAACCGTGGCATCATCTCTTCAACATAGAAATTGATTAACTGTAATCATTTAGCCAGAGGGAAGTAACTAAATACATTTACTCAAGTGCTACACTTAGAAAATGTTACATTTTATATAAGGGGGGACCGTTATCAAAAAAGTATAATTTTTATAAGGGGGACACTTATCAAAGAAATTACATTTTATAATAGGGAGGACCCTTATCAAAAAAGTATAATTCTTATAAGGGGGGACCCTTATCAAAAAAGTTAAATGTAATATAAGGGGGGACCCATATCAAAAATGTTGACCAATCCCAACAGAGCCGGCCAGCTAACCAATCAGAGCAGACAGTGCTCTAGTTTCAGACAGAGGGTGAAAAGAGGTGCTGCAGCACAGACAGTATGAGAAAAATAAAGAGCTTTTTGAAAAGCCCCTTTAAAAAAAGTAGCAATACTATAGAGTAAAAATATTGCATTCAAGATCGCAATCAAGTAAACGTACAACACTTGAGTAAAAATGACTCATTATGCAGTATGGGCCATTTTAGAATATCATGTATATTACATTGTTGTATTATGTTAATATGTTTTCCTCACTTTAAGTCGGAGAAGTTTAAAAAACGTATTAAAATATTTTAATATTTTACAAAAAAGACCATCGTAAATGTGTTTGTCGACTCTACAACACAAAAATTATACTTGATGCAACAATATAATCTAGAAATGTCACATATAAATACAATTATATACACACATGAAGGCCATTTTTCTGCACGATGACTACTTTCACTTTTTTATACTTTAAGTACATTTTGCTAATTATACTTTTGTACTTAAGATTATAAAGATTATAAATGCAGGACATTCACTTGTTATTTTGACACTAATGCATTGGTAATATTACCCAAGTAAATCATCTGAATACTTCTTCCATCACTGAATTTAAAATGTGGGTTTGAAGGAAGAAAGAACATGTCACATTTCTGTGAAGCCAATCCAGACAGACATGCATACTCACCCTTAGTCTCTTAATCTTTGTTTCTCTCCAAGACAGCAACTTTGAAAATATTAGTTTGCACTATATGTTATAGGCGAGTCCAAGTGGGCACAAGATGAGCCTTTTCTTATACGAGGTATTTTCCCATAGACCTACACCCAAACAACCATCTCAATTCGCAAAATGAAACCTGTTTCCGGGAAGGCAGGACAGTGTTCAGAATCCTTTCAATTGAGTAATACCAGGACGTTGCACTGGGAGTTTAATATTTTACTTTACTTCCGCACTCAAAGCAACATCTTGTTAAATCCATTGGCGGATGCAACTGGTCGACCCTGCTGTGCGTAAAAGTGTGCTTTTTACGCAAAAGGAGTTGCGTCTAGAGGACGGCACAACACAACAGGAGAAATACCCCATAACATTAAAACATGACAAGTATGTGTATCATTAGACCATTACATCGATGTAGGCTACTTCCTGACTTTAATATAACTTACAATCTGTTGGCAATGCTGAACAGTTTTAAATGTTAAAAACCTCGGACTTGGTTGACACTGACTGTTGTCCTGTTGGAAGAAAAAAAAAGTAACTCAATATGTTTTAGATAGATGATACATTTAGGCAGCTAATAAATAAATGCTCTCTATGAATACAGTTTAACGCGGAAGAGATGACATGCTGGCTGATGCATGCAGGCTGTGTCATGCTGTCATACCTCACAATAGCCACAAGATGTCAATACAGCCCATAGTTGGCTGAGAAAACCAAAACAACTTCTGGCCCAACAAGATCCTGCCAGAATCATTTCATTTACCAGAGGAAAACACCTTTTCCCCTTCTTTAAAAAAGACATATTCTTATATATTTCCCTTTGATATTATACAAAGTTGATATCCGTATTTTTTCAAATGTTTCCCTATTCATCTACGCATTATCCTTATGTTTGAGAACATTTTAATTTGGTATTTGTTTTTACTTTATAGGCTTATAAACTATACTTTAGATTACTACACTTTGTGATTATGGGCTATTAGCAGCAGCAGAAAGAATGAAAACAAGGTATTTTTGTATTCCAACTCTTTCGATGCCATTCATTGGCGCTCTCCTGGTGTCAATCCAATATGGGCGGCGTCAGCTGATACTTCCAGTAAGTCCTCACATGTACAACGCAGAGAGTCAACAGGCTGTACGGGGCGCAGACGTAATATCACTAGTACGACTGGATAACAAAAACAAAGCAGTAGGTTAACACACCGAGGACACTCAGAGAACTTTTGCTCAACGGAAAATCATTTTTAGAAAACATAACTTTGTATTATTTTTAACACAAATTTAACCGGCTGGGATGTGACTTTCATGCAGACTTTGCGCCTAGGCGGAGGACTATTTTCCCGGACAGATTGATCTGTATTCGATCGAATTTCATTGGCAAAGTTGCAACTTTTTACAGGCGACAGGTTCGTCACATTTACATGACATTGTAACACTTGGCTCCGTCACCTCTCGACCATGGCGGAAGCGGCCCAGCAGCCACACCTGGTGGAAATCGACCCGGATTTTGAGCCCCTGTCGCGGCCCCGTTCATGCACTTGGCCTTTGCCCCGGCCGGAGTTCATCAACCCGGGCGACTCCAATACGTCCTCCCCGGTGCCGTCTGTGAAGCAGGAGCCCACCGGCAACGACTTCATCAACAACCTCAGCCTGCTCGAGGAGACCGAGGACTTCACGGAGCAGAAGCCTGTCATCCTGTGCAGCGATTTCCAATGTCAGGAGAACTGTGTCCACCAACAACCTCCACAGCAGCTCCATCATCAGCAGCAGCAGCAGCAGCAGCAGCAGCAGCAGCACCAGCAGCAGCACCAGAACCCACAACTCCCGCATCAGCAGCAGCAGCAGCAGCATCAGCAGCAGCAGCAGGTGCCTCTGCTCTCCTCCCCGGTAGGCTCCTCGTCCTCGGCCGCCGCAGCCGCCGCTGCCGCCGCTGCCCAGAGAAAGAGCAGCTCCTCCCGGCGAAACGCATGGGGGAATATGTCATATGCAGACCTTATAACCAAAGCTATCGAAAGTTCCCCTGAGAACCGACTAACTTTGTCTCAGATTTACGACTGGATGGTGAAGAGTGTGCCTTACTTCAAGGACAAAGGAGACAGCAACAGCTCTGCAGGCTGGAAGGTACGTTTCTCTTTTTTGGCACTTTTATCCAGGAGATACAGTGTGCGTAAATCTTTGTCATCTATAGCATGAATGGCGAATGACTGCTGCTTGTGCCTGATAAAACAGCAGCCTGTGCCAGTTTATGTGTCTGCAGTTCTCACAGGGTATTGATTGTTCTTTATGCAATTTGTTTCGTATCTACTATGGTATCACTGTAATATTCCCCTAGGGATTGCTGGCTTTTCTGTGGCGTTGAATAGTCTACTGTGAATATATAGCTTTTTTTATCAGAGCTTTATTGTTTATCACCATCATCTATGGTTGTCACTGTTATTGAACAGGGTCTTCCCCACAAGTGTTTTTACAAAAAAGCATTCATGAGGAGTTAAGTATCTGTAAAGTTGCTAATCATTAGCTCCAGCATGGTTTTATGAAACCATGCCCCCCCCCTTGCATTGTCATCCATCCAGTTAATAGCAATTTAGACTAAACTGGCCAGTTGCTACCATGACCTGAGAGTCATCTGACTTCTCCCTGCAGTATGTGATTTATATGAGTCTGCTGACTCAACAGGGTTTTTTTCTACCCTCTTTGCCTCATTGCTTCCCTCGTGTGCTTTTCAAAACTGCTGTGAGTTTTGTGTTCAAGAAAGTTCCCCTCTGTCAGCTGTCACTAGAAAATGTATGATAGATTTTAAGGCTAAATCACAGTTTTCCACATTAGACTCTTGAATGAAGTTGTGTTTGGACGTCTATGTCGTAAGGAGATACCAGAAGCATTCATGTTCCCTGGAAACAGTCCAAAGTGTTACATAAGAAGGGACTTAAAATGTCTGATGTGGTGTGGCAGGCCCTCCCACTGAACACTATTGAAGGGCGTACACCTCCCTTTGGAGACAAATAGTTTCAGTGGTGTCTGACAATAAATTGATGACAGTCTATTCTCTCAGCGGGAAATTATATTGAGCCTGTAGTCACACATTGAGAGATTTATTACGGCTTCCCTCTGTTATAGTCTGTCTGGGTTGCCGATGAAATGTAAAGCAGTTGTGGGGGGGTTATGTCTTCCCCTGTCAGAGCAGGCTCCCATGGTTGAGTCATGTGCTGAGAGGTGACACATTCATGTCAGACAGGATTTCAAGTGAGACTTTTTTTTTTACATTGAATAACATAGATAGATTAAAAAAACTATAAAAATAAGAAGCTTTTTTTTTACACTGGTTTAAAGTTGACAGAGCACAACAGCAATGCCCACTCTGAAATCATCAATTTGACTGCAGTGTTTACAACAAGCCCAAGACTCATGTTGAGCTGTCAAACCTAGCCCTTTCAGAAAAATGAGAGGAAAAAACCCTTGAGTGTGGTGAAATACCCCACAAAGTGTGTGTGTGTGTGTGTGTGTGTGTGTGTGTGTGTGTGTGTGTGTGTGTGTGTGTGTGTGTGTGTGTGTGTGTGTGTGTGTGTGTGTGTGTGTGTGTGTGTGTGTGTGTGTGTGTGTGTGTGTGTGTGTGTGTGTGTGTGTGTGTGTGTGTGTGTGTGTGTGTGGTGTGTGTGTGTGTGTGTGTGTGTGTGTGTGTGTGTGTGTGTGTGTGTGTGTGTGTGTGGTGTGTGTGTGTGTGTGTGTGTGTGTGTGTGTGTGTGTGTGTGTGTGTGTGTGTGTGTGTGTGTGTGTGTGTGTGTGTGTGTGTGTGTGTGTGTGTGTGTGTGTGTGTGTGTGTGTGTGTGTGTGTGTGTGTGTGTGTGTGGTGTGTGTGTGTGTGTGTGTGTGTGTGGTGTGTGTGTGGTTGTGTGTGTGTGTGTGTGTGTGTGTGTGTGTGTGTGTGTGTGTGTGTGTGTGTGTGTGTGACTACATTGTTGACTAAACTCCAGTTAATCATGGTGGACGGCTTGTCCAATTGAGGATAAAAGCCAATTGTGGGTCAGTGATAAGGGTTAGGGTATGTTTAAAAGGGAAGCGACCTTTATCCCAAGATGTAGCTTGTGGTGTACAGTTTCACAATTGTCATCATGATACCATATTAAATTGATTATTTGGACAACAATATATTTGCTGAGTTCTTAAAGTCAAAATGAGATTCTATACCCATATCAACTCACACAAATATAAATGTACATTTTATCACAGGCAAAAAACACCTACAGAGGGTTAGTAGCGTCTGAGGTTGCAGCATATAAATAAAATGTTAACTGATGTTGACTTTAAAAATAGGATGATTATCCTGTACTCGTCATTATTATTATATATTATGTAGACCATTAACTGTGAGTCAAGCTGCATTATTATGTACACTAGTAAATATTTATATTTTGCCAAGTATGCAATAGATTCAAACACTGTGAACATGTTGGTTAGTCTTCATTAAGGCCTAATTAATGGCTTCCTTAATAAACAGTGAAGTCTCTCAGTATTGTTCAATCCCTTGATAGTTATTGTGTGATTGGCGGCTTGGAGAGAGGCGCTCAGCCACCGCCTGGGCTCACTGCTTATCCTGCCATGTTGGGGGTGTAGACTGAGTAATACTGTGGGAAAGCAAAGTGCCATTCATTGCTGCGAGGGGAGTTATTCATAGAGCTCCCTTCGGTTCCACACAGGGGGGCTATCACACATTGTCTCTTCGGAGCGATTTACTTATGAGCCGGGCAAGAGAGAAGGTGAGGAAAGATAACAATGTGAAATGGTAATTTAGTGGCCAGACATGTGTTTTTGGTTGAGTTGTTTCTTCTTGAATGACCTCCAGACAGTTAATCAATCAGTAGTAATATGCTTAAATCTCTCCATTTCAAATTTGATGAGACATCTATATTCTTTGAAATTCTCAAGGATAGATTGTTTACATCTCTGACTGCATTGTTACATTTTGACTCGACTAAGACAACATGACTTATTGGAAACACAAAATGTGACTTCATTCCAAAGACAACTTTGCAAAAATGACAAAAATATTCGAAACCAAAAAAACAATCCACCTTTGGTTTTAACTCCATCAACCTTCAAGACGACAAAAACAAACAGAAAGAGAACCATACATGTTCTGTAATTATTATGTGGTGGCTTCTTCTGTGCTGTTACACGGTAATCAGGATGACAAAAGTCTTAACACCAATGCTTTCTAGGTTTCCAGGCACCTCTGACTGTTCAACAGTAAGTTCAGTCTTTTTGAAGTTAACCAGGGATCATTTGTCCATGTGACTGATCTCTCTGAACAGATGGGTCTCCTTCTCCTGAAGGGAACGGGCTAAAGCACATGTCGTTTTCATTAATCTATGATTAAGGCTGTCTGCTCTGTAATTGTTTGAGGCAGTCCTCCGCAGTCGGTCGTGTCTGAACTGAGTCATGACAGCCTCCACACTTCTCAGGCCGTCTGCGACAGTGTGAATTTTGAGGACAGTTGTGCCAGGTGGGACCAGCTTGGAGAATCTCTCAAAGTGGACTGGACAGAACGCCCGTCCAACTGGAAGAAGAATA